AATAACCTCTGAGCACAGAACCAGGAGTGAGACATACGCATAGCCATAGTCAGGTGTGGTCCCAAAACAAAAACAAACAAAAAAGCAAATAAAAATTTAAAAAAAAACACATTCTGACATTCAAAAGTGACTTCTCTATTTCGCAGGATAGAAGGAAAGACATCCTTGTATCCAGCTCGGTTTCCAGAGGCTTGAATCTGCAGCTCTCAACATTTTTCAGCACTTAAAGTTCAAACAGATAAGCAAACACCTCAGTCCCCTCTTGTTTCCATATAGATAGATGGGTAGATGTATATACATAAATATATTTGTGGCATATATTTATTTTCAAACGCATCATGAAATATGAAATATAAAGAGGCATAGTTAGGGAATTAAATAAAGAAAATATCCAATGCTAACAATCCTTGAGGATGTGTAGTTCTGCAGAACTGAGTTTGCCAAGAATGTATGAGCTGGGGACAGTGGTGGAAGGAAGCTGACACGCTGACGATGGGTGTAATGCTAAAACATTGATGACTGAAAGGCTGCAGTTAACAGTATTGTAAATCAGGGTGCTGAAATAAAAACTGAAAGTCTTATCTTGTTAAGATTGGAAAATTTTCAAGAACTTTTATAACTGAACTTCTTTCATCCATGCTGCTTACTTGAGCTGATGGCGGTGAAAGCTCAGAACAATGCAAAAATTTGTTTATGTACATGTTAAAGCGTCTTTTAGAAAAAAAATACTATTGGGAGCAGCAGAGTCAATGCTGTTTCCATGAATAAGGCTCTCTACCATAGGGCTGACACTTTGCTCAGTAATTATTGCTAAAGGACTGAACGCAGTCCGAAGTCTGTCACCGACTTCATTGTCATCATTGTGATCTGCTGGTGGGGTGGAGAAGTTCTAGGTGCCAGCTGAAAGTCTGTGAGAAATTGGGTAATGTCTTTTCAATGCGTAAACATCTAGAACAGGATACCAAAGTGGCTAAGAGGCTTAACTTCAATCAGACTGACAGGACTTGAATGTGAGCATTCTGTTTGCTTGCTGCATGGATTTAAACTAGAATTTTTTGGGAAAGAGAAAACTAGAGAAAGTTGGATACCTGACAGTGCTCCTGGACTAATCCCCGTGTAGGTTTAGGGGTGACTTCTGGGGGTGCCTTACTTGGGGGATTTTTGCATCGACCCCTACATGTAAAATCGGTGTTCCAACACTTTGAGCTCTCTCACTGGCTTCTAGAATTCCTTTGTAGAAAAATGAATTAAATGTCAGTTTGTAGAAAAATGAATTAAATCACAAGCACATGCAGTGATCTCAATCCAGGATGTGAATTGCGGGATGTGCCTATTTTTTAGGTATAGATGAAAATTTTGGTCCAAAGGATTAAGAGCTGGACTAAAGATGAAAATCAGCAGACTCCAACTGACATTCCAAATGTAAAGAATGTTTCCTGGGGGCTGGAGCAATGGCACAGCGGGTAGGGGTTTGCCTTGTATGTGGCCGACCTGGGTTTGATTCCCAGCATCCCATGTAGTTCCCTGAGCACCACCAGGGGTAATTCCTGAGTGCAGAACCAGGAGTAACCCCTGTGCATTGCCAGGTGTGACCTAAAAAACAAACAAAAAGGAATGTTTCCCTTTTTGTATCCTTCTTCTGAAAGCCTATAAAAGGAGGTAATATGTAGGTTGAACCTTTCATCAAGAATCTTTAGATTCAATGATAGATTGGAGGACCAGCAGAGAAGAGAATTTACTGACTGTTCTGGTGCCCACCAGTCTGTTTTATGTGTCCATATAGGAAGATGGTTCTCCGTCAGCCTGTCATCTTCCAATCTGCTGGCTGATTGCTTAATAGAGTCCTTTATTCTGTCTTTTTGTCTCTGGATTGGTTGCTCTATGGGCTGTTCAAACACTGCAAAAACAATAACCAAATGCAATAGGTAGGTTCAACTTTGGATGAAGATTCAAACAAGCCTCAGAAAGGCATGTGAACCCACAGATGGCCTGTGAGCTGAATGTAAATCAGCTAGCTGACATTCTCTAAAGGTACTAAATATATTTTCATTTTTTTTCTCTAGGCAGCAGGGAGATGTCTCAAAATTTCAGAGCAAAGGTCTTAGAGGTGACCTGGGTTATACCCTAGGGGTACTAGTGGAAATGGGGGCAGGCAGGGTGCCCCCCCCAACCAAATAAATTTCCATGAGTTGTACACTAGTACATATTAAAGTTGGGGGACCTCCCCACTGCTGGCTTATGTGAGGCAGAGAAGAAACAGCTGCTTTCTCCCAATCCACCTCTGCCACCCTGGGATTGGCTGGAAAGGCAAGGACTGATAAAAGTCTGCGAGGAGCCCTTGTGTGGCATGGACCTTGAGCCTCGTCAGCCCCATGAAGTGGCTGTCAAGTTCACATCTAATGTCCACTTGATCTTCTCGGCACGGGAGTTAATCCCCACCATCCGATTCCTTGGGGATCCATGGATTTAGGCTGGAGTGAAGAATTGCTCTATGCAGGAAAAGAAAGCCAGTCCTAGGCCTTATCTAGGGCTTCCAGGTCTTTGTCCTATCTCACAGAAAAGAATTTCATAGAAAAGCAGTCAAATAAAAACAGATTTTATTTTGGAGGTTTTTTTGAGGAAAGAGAAGAGAAAAGGGAGCGAGAAAGAGAATGTGCTCCAGAAAGAGAATGCGGTCTTCTCAAGGCAAAGAGAGCAGTATATACCTCAAAGAGGGAGAGCAAGTGATCCATGTGTTGGGACACCACATATGCTTGGCTACGTGAGCACTAGCAGCCCATGGGCTTGGGCAGCATATGCGCACGCTTCCTTTGTTCAAGTTGGCTTTTATAGGGTTTCCCCCAAGGTCCTTCATGTGGGGCTTTTATTTAGGTAAGACTTTGTGGTTGCCAAGTGTGTGTGTGTGTGTGTGTGGGGGGGGGTTGGTAGAGTTGGGATGGTCTTCTTTGAAACTCCGTTTCTTGACTTTTGTTCCTGCTGGATCTTCTCTTGGATGGGTTTGGACTTCTCTGGTCTGGGCTAGCTCCAGGTAAAGGTCTTCTCAGGTCTTAGTTGCTGTAGTGAGTCCCTATGACCGTAGGGCTAGGTAGTTTTACTGCTTCTCAGGAATTCCATCACCATGGCCCCCCTCCCCCCCCCGCCCCCCCCCCCCCCCCCCCCCCCCGCAATCTACCTGCCTACATCAATATGACTATGAAACACCAGGGTATTTTGGAATGAAATGACACTGTACTTGGTTCTCTTTACTTATTTAGGTTTATTGGCCACACTCAGTGGTGCTCAGGGATCACTCCTGGTAGGCATGGAGGACCATACAGAGTACTGAGTATCAAACCCAGGTCAGCCGAGTGCTAGGCAAGAGCCCTGCCCACTGAATTATGGCTCTGGACCCTCTACTTTCCTGCCCACTGAATTATGGCTCTGGACCCTCTACTTTGTTCTCTTTAAAGACCTTTTTTGGGACCACTGATAGCTAGCTAGAGGGGGGTGGAGCCATATTTTGCACACAGGAAGCCTGGAGCCACCCCCAGCACCTCTTGTTCCCCCAAGCACACTCTCAGGAGCTACAGTAGCAGGGAGGAGACAGACCTTGAGCACATCCGAGTATGATCCAGGGAACAAAAGAAGGAAACAAATGAAACAATATGGGTAAAATGTTCATTGCTGACGCTGAGTGACTGGCATGTGGAAGTGATATATTCAATTTTTCTGCCTCTTATGCCTCTGGAAAGGGAAAAAAAATCTAACAAAAAGGAAGCTTTTCTTTCCCAGGACGTTTCTGCCAGAAAGTTTGTCGACACTCATCATTTTCCTTTTAATAGTTTACTCACATCGTTACCATTGGAACTCATAATCCTAATTACGAATTTATTTATTTCTTCGGGTCTTCGTGGCAAGAGGGTGCTATGCAATGAACCCAGGGTTTCAAACCTGCACAAAGCACAAGGCTCGGGCATTCACACTGGGCAAACCCATTTCCGTTTGGGGTTGCTGGGTGCTCGGCGCAGGGCAGCGCTGGGCGAAGCTCAGCTTCTGCACCGGGTCGGGAGAGGGGGCGGCGGGGGTGCTGGCATCAGACGCGCCAGCCTCTGGGCCGCAGGCACCTGGCCAGTCAAACCCAAGGACAAGGCGCCACCGTGCGAAGGTCCTACCGGTGCGGGGCTGTCTCTCAACAATACCCTTTCCTTCTCCCCCTCCTTTTTTTCTCCTCCACCCTCAGACTGGAGGAGCTCATCTTTATATTGCTCTGCAAGCGACCTTTAGCGCACAACTCGGGTTAATAGCTGCAAGCTCCTGCAGGGAAATGGGATTGATTTCTAGGCACGCGTGTTTCACAGACTCAACCCAAGGAAGAAAACGTTACATTTAATCCCATTATCCCGGAGAGAGGCTGTCGAGCCTGGGCGCGTTTCCGAGCTCAGACCCGGAGGAACCCCGGGGCGCCAAGGCGCGGGGTGCGGGTGCCCGCCTTCCACACCGGCCCCAAGCGGGCTCGGGGGCGCTCCGCTCCACCTGGCCTCGGAGCGCACAAAGGGACTCCCGAGTCCCTGATACCCGCGAGGTGGCCCTCAGTGGGGCACTCGGGCTTCCCAGCACGCCCCACACTTGACAGAAGCGGAAAAGGGCGGGCAAGCCCGCACTGCGCATGCCCAGAAACAATCGTTCCAGGGACGGCCCCGCCCTGGCCACTCCAGGACCGCGATACTTTCCACCCTCTCGTTGGTCCTCGCCCCAACCGCTCCACCGCCCTGGAACATTCTAAAGCCCTGCGCACGCGCTCTGCGGTTCCCGGAGCTCGGGCTCCGCCCTCTCCGGCACGCCCCTTTGCGTCACAGCGCGCCCCGCCTCCACGTCGTGCCTCTTCGCCGGGACCCTCGCAACAGGCTTCTGATTGGCTAAACTTAGGCGAGAACGCCGGTACAAGTTGGCCGCGATAGGCTGGAGCTCGGCTTCTTCCTGGGTGTGCGTAGGAGGTGATTGGTCGGCGGCGGCACCCAATCAGAGACGGGCTGTTGGATTCAAACCGGGATCGTTGGGCTTGCGGTCGGTTGGTCGCAGTCGGGTCGTTGCTTCGCCCTGAGGAGGACGCGCGCCCCCTTCGCTCCTACTCCGCCTTCGCGCCGCCGCAGGGATGGCCCACAAGCAGATTTACTACTCGGACAAGTACTTCGACGAGCACTACGAGTACCGGTGAGCCGGCCGCTCGGCGGGAGGGCGGGGGTCGCAGTCGGGGCGGCGGGGAACGCCCGGGAGGACCCCCCCCCCTCCCCCGAAAGTCTTCCTCAGTGGCTTGGGCCCCGAGGTCCCCGCGCGGAGTGTCCAGCCCGAGCCTGGCGGGGCGCGTTAGGCCTCAGTAACGCGCAGCTCGGGCTGGTCCGGGCTCCCCAGGGGCCCCTCCCGGCCCCGCGGGACGCTGCGGGGGGCGGGGCGCGGCCGGCTGCGGCTGCGGCGGCGGCGGCCTGGCGCCCACGGTGTGGACGGTTCCCCGGCGCTCCGGGCGGGCGCGACGGAGTCTCCGCAGCTGGTGGGCGATGAGAGCGGGTAGTGGGGTCCTGCCTAGCAGAGCACGCTTAGCACCGCCCCCACCCCCCACCACCACGCCTGCAAGTTGGGGTCCGTGTCTGTGCCTGGCGAGCCGCACTGCGAACGTGCCCCCGCCGTCGCGGGAACGGAGGGACACGGCGTGTCCTGCCCGCGGGGATGCCCCAGCCCCGGTGTTGGACCCGGCCGCGCACCTTGCTTGGTGTGCACGCAGCTCCGTGCTCCTTAAGGATGCTTTTCAAGGGCACCCTGTTGCTTATCCACGTAGGGGTGGGTTTGAAGTGTCGAGGGCAGACGTACTTTTTTTGGGGGGGGGGGAACCTCTGCAGTTTCATTCCGTTCTCACTTTTTCCCTCCTCTGCTTAAGTTTTTCCCGGTAAATGCATGCCCTAGCTTGATTCCATTTCCTTCCCGTTGCAGAATTGAATGGATGTGAATCATTTTTTTTTTATATACACGACTGGATGTGTTTCTGATTGCATCCGAATGTTACCTTGAGTAGCTCTTGCACCTTTTAATTTTAAATTGGCCTTACGAAATAACATCTCTCCCCACACACCTTCCACTTACCGTGGCATGACCGTAGTGCCAATAAAAATGTTGCGTTTTGGACATAATCTTTACATGCAATTAAATATACTACGTAAACTGCACGTAGAAACTACTTGTAAATTTCTGCTATATGTTCAAATCTTGATGGAGACCCTGTTTCCATGGTTGGTGGAGAAGGGGGTAGACATTGTGTCTTAATACCTTGGTATGTTTGTGTAGATATTCGTGAATACAAAAGCTAATAAGCATTGTAGTTCTGATACATTTCTCGGTTGTTGAACTGAGAACAATGTTTCGTAAAGCCTTAAAAGTAGATAATCCTGATTTTGAAAAAGTAGATGGCCTGAGAGATAGTACTGCAGGTAAGGCTGTCCCACACTGCCTATGGTCCCTCAGGCATTGCTGGGAGTGATGCCTGAGCCGGAGCCAGGAAAGGAGTAAGCTCAAAGCATCCCTGGATGTGGCCCAAAAACAAACAAGATGCTTCTTGGCTCATCGCCGTTCCGTAATGTTATATGGTTTTCCTATGACCATTTTTTTCATCAACATTAAATTGGTGCCTAAGTAACCAGCCACAAATCATAACTTAATGTGTTGACATTATGATGCTGGCGGTGGGTTCTGTTATCTTGTGAGCCAGAAAGCACCTCTCTCAACCACAGGTGTCCCATGGTCCAAAAATTCATTCTGTGTTCACAAATGATTCTGAACAGGGTACAGAAGCTGTAATTATGCATCTTACTTTTGATTGTTTGATACTGGAGTTTTATGGTGATTAAAGTTTGGGTGGAGGGGCTGACATGATAGTACAGCATGCAGATCGTCTTGCTTTGCACGAAGTTGACCCAGTTTTATTCCCAGCATCCCATATGGTGCCCCCAGGGATATTCCCCACCAGGGATGTTTCCTGAGCTTGGAGCCAGGAGTAGCCCCAAGCACCACCACGTATGGCACGAAAAGGCAAAATAAAGTTTGGGTATAGGTTAGTGATTTTAAATGAAAAAGGGAGCTCATTGTGTGAGTTTGCTTGGACATATGTTTGCAATTAGGGTTTGTTTTGGTAATTCTGAAAAGAATAAATCAAGTTTTATGTGAATTATAAAAGCAAATTCTCAAAAATACAAGAACATGTGTTTGGCTGCAAATAACTTTTGAGTAAGGAAACCCACGTTCCCTTATGTGTAAGGGGCGCAAGGTTAGTGCAGCTCTACAACCAGGGGCCATCATCTGTTTCACTTCTATGCTACTAGATGACATCTTTCCAACTCTCTGACAGTGTTTCCTGGCCAGTAGAAGAGTTGCATATGTTCTTTTGAGGCTACATTACACAAAATTTGCATTTCTGCTGATGCATATTGGTCAGGAATTAAATGTTTTTGGTAACTGTAAGCTCCATTTGATTTTCGTGATTCTGCTACTAAAGCAAATTGGCAAGACTTCCTAACAGTTTTTGTCGGGAAAAAGAAAAGACTAATCCTAATAAAATACTTTTGGAATACCTCTTAAAGAATTTGAACTTGAGCAATAAGAATTACATTGATATCAAATAAAATGTAACAAACATCTTTTTTTAAGAGAGCATTTTGAATGTCTGTTTCACGGACAAATGCTCAAAATTTAAGTATAAGCTACAGATAATACGTAAAGTGGATAGAATTATAGAATTAAATAGAAATATCATGTTTATGTAGAACACTAACAGTGTTTATGTCTATTTTATAGGCATGTCATGTTGCCCAGAGAACTCTCCAAACAAGTGCCTAAAACTCATTTGATGTCTGAAGAGGAATGGAGAAGACTTGGTGTCCAGCAGAGTCTAGGCTGGGTTCATTACATGATTCACGAGCCAGGTAACATTCACTGTTTAGGAACTTCTAGATTAGTTTTAAGTAATAGTTGGAAATTATACTAACTTCCATGTTACTGTATCTAAGGTTTTTTTTTAATAGGCATGAAAATAATGTATCTTACATAAATTTTTTAAACTTGTTTTAAATTAGCACTATTGATTGTATGGAATAGTACTTAATATTTTTCAAAAAATACTGGAATTCTGGTGTCCTTTGAAAAATAGCGACTTATGTTTAATACCGTGTTAAGTGCCCTTTATATAGAAATGGTTGCAGTTGAAGTGATTTATCTTTTCCTTCTAAGATTAAATGAGCTAACAGCCTCTGAATTCAAATGTGTTACTAGTTATGTCCTTATGTGATACTCACCTGAAAGTTGCTAAAACAAGTAAACCGACTTTGTGTTTTCACATTTGACTTAAGATAATTTAGAGCCCTGTGAACAAAATGTGAATGCATACTCAATAATTTTAAAGAAAGTAAAGTGTTCAAGTCTAGGACTCAGGCTGGAGGGGAGGGCGTTTGCTTTCCATGGGACCAACCCCGGTTTGATCCCTGGCATCCTATATGGTCCCCAGTACCACCAGGAGTAGCCCTTGAGCATCACCGAGTGTGACCCAAAAAGAAAAAAAAGTCTAGGATTTCATATTGCCCCAAAGGAATGTATCTTGTTTTCTGGGGGTGCTGGGGGTTGAACACATTGGCAGAATGTTAATGTGTTCTGAATGTTAGTGTTTTTTTTGGTATACGGTTGACAGTGACTTGAAGTATATTTTCAGGTAATTCAACAAAATTGATCATAGTTTTACTTTAGTTCAGATCAATTATGAATTGGGGTTTTGAGTGAATTGACATTAAAGTGATAAACATTTTTTTTCCCCACAGAGCCACATATTCTTCTCTTTAGACGACCCCTTCCAAAAGATCAACAGAAATGAAGTATATCTGGAGACGTCAATTAAATCTTTTTTCAAGTTTAATGTATATGTGTATATAAGGTAGTATTCAGTGAATACTTGAAAAATGTACAAATTGTTCATCATACCTGTGCATGAGCTGTATTCTTCACAGCAACAGAGCTCAGTTAAATGCAACTGCAATAGGTTAAGATAAGATGTTTAAAAACAATTTCTTCTAGTTAGTTTTTCTCTTAATATAAGTGCCTGTTTGACTTTACTTGTTACTTTTGTTAAATAAAGTTTGTATGTTGCATTTATCCCTCAGGTTATGCTGTTTATTTTCTGTGGTAATGTGACTTTTTTTCAGGTGATTTCCGTTTTGTAGTTTCATTCCAGTGGAAATAGCGACCTTAATGGCCTTTAAAAACCTTGATGTAGTGTAGTAAAGGTCCATTTAATTTACTTAGCAAGAAACATCTTCGTATCAGCATCACAAACACTGCAAAATACCCTATGTGTTGTTTCCTAGATTGCCAGTTTTTGCTGCTGGGGAACTACTTCATGCAAAAGCTTTTTACTGCCATGCTTTAGAAACTTGAATCAGCTGTCAGTTAACAGTCTGATCAGTCTGGTGGTCCAGAAAAGGGAAGGCATCTTTAACACAAGCACAGTAAATATCAAAGGCGATTAAGCAGTATTTAAATGTGATCCCTGGTGCTCATCAACTAGTAAAATTCAGAACTAACAATCCAACACAAGATGATTAAACCGTTAAATTCAAGTTTCCTGGCACATCCCTTGCACCCTAAAGACTGAAAAGGGGAACGTCTAGCATTGATTACTGCCAGTTAGCCTGGGCCAGAGGAATCTGGGTGTGAACTGGTGTCCTGCACCGTACACGAGCTCCCCACCAGTGGGGCTGTCAATTAGGCCTGGATTACCCGTCCTGGCCGAGCTTTCAGTGAGCCCAGCTGCCCCCTCTGTCGGCTCCCCTACTCCTCCAAACCTGCAGCCCACCCTATCTGTTCTAGTGCCAGGCTTAGAAAACTGCCGCTGTCCTACTGGAGAGCGCTTTGCTACGCACAGAAAGTGTCAACACAAGCGGAGGTGTACCTCTGATTAACCCTGAGTCAAGGTGATCCCCTTTCCAGCGCCCACAGCTCAGGATCTAGCCCGCCCACGACACCTGGGAGGCCCGCCCTGCAACTGTGTTTTAAGGGAGTTGGGCCGTGTAAGCCCCGGAGGCTGCTGGATGCAGCGAATCCTCGCAGGTCCCCTGCTGAAGCCCGAAGTCTCGGGACAGTCACCCCCTCGTTCCGCCTCGGGGTGCCCGGGACACGTGCGTCTGCAGTCCTCAGCCCGGCGCGCCCGACCTCTAGCTTCCGCGCTGCCGCGACCGCGCTCATTTCCGCCGGAAGTGGGGCGGGCCGGGTCGCGTTTTTGTGACGTGCTTCCTGGCGGTCGCTCGGAAGGCGGAACAGCGGGGTGGGCAGCCGCTGGGAGCTTGTCGCGTCAGTCGAGGGGCAACCGCTGGGCTCCCCGGCTGGGCCGCGTCCGGGCCGCTCGCCATGGCGTCGGCGGGGCCGCGGGAGCCCGCAGGCGAAGTGAGTAGGGCGGCGCGAGCCGGCGGCGGGGCGGGCGGCCGCTGCGCCGCGCGAGGACGCCGTGTGGACGCGGCGCGGGGCCCACCCGCCCGCGCCCCGCGCGCCCCCCGGCCCCGGGAAACGGGCTTCCAGCCGGGGGAGGACTCGGTGTGGGCAGAGCCGGACTCCGTGCAGCCAGGCGATAGGTCTTCCGGACGAGGCCACTTGCAGTGGTTCGTGAGGGGCGAGCAAGCCTTTCCTGTGACTTTGGAGAAACACTGGCAATAAACTTGTCGGTGCGTGTTTCTCAGGGTGACTTTGGGCCGGCTGCTTCAGCTTTGCGCTCTCGAGAACCCGAGGCTGTAGGTGTGTAAAATAGGTGTGCAGCTAAAGCATTTCTCGAGAAGAAGTCCATGCAGTGACCCACATATCCAGGTACATGGCCCCAAGTGCGCGGCAACTCGGCCAGCTCAGTCCGGTCGGCAGGTCGCCGCGTTCCAAAGGGAAAGCACAGGGCGCTCCGGAAGGATGTTCGTCGGCTGACTGTGTCCGCCGAGTTCGAATCTTACCTCCACTTTAACATTTTAAGAGGCCACTTTTTCAGTGGGGAAAAAAGACCTTCTGGGGTAAACAAAAACAAAATCCTTCCCTTTACCAGCAAAAATGTTTGAACAACAGCCCTGGGATCATTTTCCAGGTTGCTGGAAGTCCATGACAGAGGTTTTGTGTGTGTGTGTGTGTGTGTGTGTGTGTGTGTGTCTGTTGTTGGTATGTTCACTTCAGTCAACCTCAAAATGGGTATCTCCAAAGCACCCCGTTTTTCCCTCCTGCAGGGCATCAGATTGTCAGCAGATGTCAAACCATTTGTCCCCAAATTTGCTGGGCTGGGTGTGCCTTGGCAGGAGTCTAAAGAAGCTCCAGCGTTCCCTATCTGTGCCACCGCCTACTATCCTAGTGTTCAGGAACTACCAGTGCCGGGGTATGTATCCTAAACATCTTGCTTTATCCAGGGGTTTGATTTTTTTTTTTTTTTTTTTTTTTTTTGGTTTGTGACAGCAAGCACATGAAAGTTCCCAGAGCAACTCATTGTACTCCTCCTGGCAGGGCGATTTGGTGCTGTGAGCTGTCAGGACAGCCCTGGCGGAGTTTGGGGGACCTACAGACAAGCAGGTGCTTGAGATGTAACTCTGGGTTTCGGACACATATGGCATAGGCTCCAGTCTTTCAGCCAACTCTGATTTTTTTACTTGTTTTTTTTTTTTTCTGGGAGTGCTGGGGATGGCACCCAGGGGCACAGACTTGCAAGGAAGGCAAGTACTCCACCATTGATTGACATAATTAGCTGAAGATAAAATGGAATTTCAGGGGTTTAGTTTCATACTGCTTTATGTGTCTGGAGCGTTAACCACACTTAACGTTGCGGAGTGAGAATTACCCAAGAAATCTCAAACCCACTTGTCTGCGGAATTGCAGAGGCTTTGTTAACCTGCAGGGGCTGCCAAGCCTGAGAGCTTGCTAGGATCTCAGTGTGATGAACAGTCGTGAACATAAGTTCAGGCAAAGTTTTTACACACTCTTACCACGTTCAGCTTGGGTAGATCAATCAGCTTTCTCGTTAGCTAAAGCAAGCAAGCGTATTTTTAGTACAGAGGCCAGATGTTTGTGGTTAGCCTGGAATGGTTAAAAAAATTTTCAGCTGGGCAGCTGAAAAGAGTAGTGTGTGATAGCTGTTTTGTCTAGGACAGTTTGTTCTCGGTGCTTCCTGTCGCTACGTCCTTGGAGTGCCTCTTCCTATTTCCCAGCTATCTTTTAGCAGCCACCTGCTTTCTCTGCTAACTCGGGTCACCTCGTCACACTGGCGCTGAAAAGACACCTCGACTTATTTCTCCCATCCACTGCCACTCTATTCTCTTTCATAACTGCCATAGTTTTCAGGGAGGCTAGGAGTTTTGTTTCTGGCTAGTATGTTTGGATTAGTGACTCACATATATTCCAGATATGGCTCTAATTGTCTTTTGCGTCCTGACTTGTTTTAGCTAGAAAATACTACATTTTCCAAATACTGCTTAAAACCATATACATCCATTGGGAGATTAAATAGAAGAAAGGGGTGGAGAGGAGAAGTGGGGCAAAGAACATATACTTCAGTTATGTGATTACGTTTCAATTTTCACTTAGGGATGGCGATAAAACTCAGTAGTAAAGTGCAAGCCTTGCATGCAAGAGATCTAGATTTCAGCCCCAACACATACACCTAATAAATTTTTGCTTCAGAAAGGAGGGGAGTCTAGTAGTTATTGCTGACATTTTAAGTGGGTGGTTCTTTGGCAGTTGATGGGTTTTGCATTTGATCACTTCATTTTATAATGTCCTATGGAGCTGAAGTCTGCATATATTTAGTTATACATTCTTCAAGATTTGAATCGAAATAAAGCTCATGTTGCCCTTTAAATATTTTTTTCCAAGTTGGAATTTATTCTCAAGGAATTTATAATATCGTATTTTAATGTTAGCTGAATTTGGAAAAATAAGTCTTAAACCTCTCACATATTTGTGTGAATTACCTGCAAATTCATTGGTTGGGAGGGATGCATTATCTTTGTGCTTATGTTTGTATATATCCGTGTCTTTATATTGCCATGAGATAGGTCAGATTGGTTTGCTGGTGTCGTGGCCGATCACTTCTTTGGCCTCTTGGCCTGCTAGGCCAGTGGTTCAATGCACAGGCCTGATTATGTAGTGCTGCTCAGGCCCTGCAGTGCCTGTCAATGCTCTGATGACGGTGTGGTATTCATAGAACCAAGGTCAGGCCCATCCACGGCATGTGCCTTAACCCCTATATTTTCTCTCTTGCCAATATGGCAAGCAGTGTAACACCTAAAGCATGGTTCTCTAAACCAAGAGTAATTGGAAGCCCTTATTATCTGTGCTTCGACTGTGTGTGTGTGTGGAGCGTTCAGGGCTTACATCTAGCAGTGCTTGGGGTTGATGTGCCGTGCTGGGGATCAAACCGGGGTTAGCTGCTTGCAAGGCAAGTGCCTTAACTTCTGCTGTCTCTCGGGACCCTGCTTTGCTTTTTCAAAGGATATTTATAGAGGTTGAGAGCTGGTTTGGGAGGTAAGGCTCGTTTCTTTCATGCTTGAGATTGGCAGGGACGTGTTTATATTATTTTCCCACACAAGAACTGGAGGCTAGAAATGTCTGTCCAGAGTTTGTCTGCATAGTAGCAATAGAACCAGAGTTAGCATTCAGTTTGGGAGTGCTAATTCTCTACTTGCAGTTAATTTTTTTCCCCAAAACTGTTCCTCAAAGCTGCCTGTGCCACGGGCCAGTTTGCTGAATGTTTTCAGGATCTTGTAATGGCCTGAAAGTTTTGCAACACAGAGACAGATGTTTCAGTCAGTTGAGAAAGAGCTAGCATCCTTCACAGAGTGTGACTGAGCTCTGCAGGGCTCAGGTGGATTTGGTGGGTGGAGGGACTGGATAACTGCGAGCAGCTTTTCCCAGTACTTGGTTGCCTGAGAGCAACACGATGCCGGGACTGCTTCCGGTCTCCTGTTCATAGTTACATGGCCTCCTCATGGATCTTCTGAGCTAAAGACACAGGGGCAGCCTGTTTCTTTGTAATGCAAAAAAATAAATGCTCAGGGACTTTGCTTCGTTTTCTGGTTTTGCATTTTATTTTGTCTTTTGGGGGCCCCACCCAGTGATAGTATGGACCTGCTCCTGTTCCTGTGTTCAGGAGTGTCCCTGTGACCTGGGGACCTATGGTGCTGGGAATCAATTCAGGCCTCCTTGCATGCAAAGTGTGTGCTCGGCCCAAAAGAAAACCGCAGATTTGGGTTCGGGTACAGTGCTTGGGGACTGACTCCCAGTGTGGTACTCGGGGCCATGAGGTGGTCCCCGCGCTTCTTGTATACCTGCATGCAGAGGCCGCTGGACTCCCCAGCCCGTTTGGCTTTTAATTCAAGATATTTTGATACTGACATGAGTGACCTTAAAAATAATTAAAAGGCTCACTGTAGATTGTTATGGTATGTCAACTGGTTATAGTATATTACAATATGTTAACATTATTAAGTTAATGTGAATTAACTTAATTCTTGAGTTGTGAACTCTGCCGCTAAAATTGACCCATTTTATCTAGACAGAAAGTTTATGCTGAAGAGGCGACGTTTGGCGCTTCACCTTTGCCTCCTCAGTATTTGTCTTCTGAGATTGCACTTCAGCCCTACGCCTGCTCTTCCTACACGCTGGAATCCGCGCAGAATGCCTGCCTGGTGCCCCGCTCTCAGTACGACTATGGCCAGCCGAGTTGTTACCGAGGCTTCCCCACAGGGAAGCCACGCCATGACCACCGGTGTCCTCTCCCACAGGACTCCAAAGCCTTGTTGAAGGTCAGTCACCCCTGTGGTTTTGTTGGTTCCTGTTGAAAATGTAAAGAACCAGGGTAGGTGATCTAGTACAGCAGATAGGGCACTTGCCTCTCCTGTGGCCAACTGAGGTTTGATTCCCGGCTCCACAGATGGTCCCCAGAGCACTGCCAGGAGTAAGCCCTGAGCACAGTCGGTTGTGGAACAGAAAACAAACAAACAAAAAACAAGGAAATTTAAAGAACCAGTCTATTTTTGCACCCAGTTAAGCCTGTCTTATCTTTTTTTGGTAGGTGTTAAGCATTGATTTGATCTGACCTTGAACACAAATTCACTAGTTAAAACCTTCTAGTTTTCTGAATTTGTTACTTTTTAATCTGTCCTGCAGAAAAAAGCATATGATGAACAGAAGCTTGACAGTAAGAAGGCTGATGGGACTGCATCAGCAAAAGGTTCCCATGCTGTGCCCATGCGTGCTGAGAATAGCCTGACATCAGGTAAGAATGAAGGCCGGGGGTGTTGCCTGCCCTTCTGCCTCTTGCTGTGGCTTGTGCAGCTCTCCCTGCAGGCTGTTTCCTGGAGAAGCGCTGAGGCCCTCAGACTTGTTGAGGGGCCTCGAGGTCTTTCCCCTGGGCAGGAACAGTGCTGTGTGGGCCCTTAGCTCAGCATGCTATGTGTTATGCAAGAACTTGCCCAAGGGTATCCCATCACCTCAAAACATGTCCTGTAATGCAAATCCCGGTCATGTCCCTGTTTGGTGGGACTCTTTTCCTTCTTTTTATTTATTTATTTTTATTATTTTTTTTTCCTTTTTCTTTTATGGGGCTCCACACCCAGCAATGCTCAGGGGTTACTCCTGACTCTGCACTCAAATCATTCCTTTACTCCTGGCTCAGGGGACCATATGGGATGCTGGGGATTGAACCGGGGTCAGCCACATGCAAGGCAAATGCCCTCTCTGCTGTGCTATCACTCTGGCCCCTCTGTTCCTTCTTCAAATCATTTCTGTGGGGTTTTGTTAGGACACATTCCAGTAGGTGAGAAGTTGGACGGTGGCATGACTCCCAGCTTAAGTACTGCCCTGGGCCAGTGTCATTCCTCAAGGACATTGTTCATTCATGCCCAAAGTCACAACTGTCCTGAACTTCTAGTTCTGCGGAAGTTAATGATTTTCCCCCTAATGTCTTATTTGCTGTAAATTACAAACTCGGTGCAGTTGTTTACCGACATTGCCTGTTTATACAGTGACTTAAATCTTTGTAGGAGTTGACTTTCTGGGAATGCTATATTTTTGTGATTGTATTGTTGGGGCCAAAGAGACAGTACATACAGTGGGTGGGACGCTTGCCTTGCACTCAGATGACCAAGGTTCAATTTCCACGACCCCATATGGTACCCCGAGCCCCACCAGGGTTCTGGGGATTGAACCTGGGTTAACAGCATTCAACACAAGCAATCTACCCATTGTACTCCCTAGCTTAGGAATAGGTTATATGTTTAATTTTTGCTTTCCTGCATTTTATTCCTGCAAGCCCAGCTATGGGCTGTTTATCACTTAGGGGAAATTCAGTGATGTCGTTCAGATCTCTAAGACAAAACTAGAGAGAGTACCTGGGGGAAGACATTTGCCTTACTTACGGCTGCTGCTGCTGAAGGGACCCTGGTTAGAATCCTCCAGACTGCACCTGGTCCTAGAGCACCACTAGGGGTCATGCCTGAGTACAGAGCTAAGAATAGCATCACCAGGTGTGGCTCCATTTCAGCCCTCAACCCCCAACACAAACAGAAACCCCACACACAAAACTGTAAAATGATAAAATACAGATAAATAAGGAATAGTTAAAATTTCCAGCGACACAGTAAGGTTAAGGGTCTCTGTTTCTCAAAACCCTTGAATGTGTTTTGCTTTTTTCCACTTGGTGACCCAGGTAGAGCAATTGGTAAAGGTAAGGTAAGGTAAAGGCCCTCCCGTTGATCGTCGATTTGCTCGAGCGGGCCCAGTAACGTCTCCATTGGAGAATTTGTTGTTACTGTGTCTGGCATATCGAATACTCTCGGTAGCTTGCCAGGCTCTCCGAGAGGGGCGGAGGAATCGAACTCGGGTCGGCCATGTTGGCCGCTTGTAAGGCGAACGCCCTACCCGTTGTGCTATCGCTCCAGCCCAGAGCAATTGGTAGGTCTGGTCATTTATATTTTATACCATCACAAGGATAATGATAATGTTTGTGGGAGGGGCAGGGTCTGAACTGTCGGGAGTTGTAGCTTTAACAGTCAGTGAACTCACTCTGCCATTTGACATGTGTGTCATCAAGCTGCTTGCTGACCTCTGCCTGTAATTGTAATTTTTCGACTTTAGATGGTTATCATAACAAGCGAACAGACCGGAAATCCAGAGTCCCTGAAAACAGTGGACCCACCTCCAAACCCGAGTTTGAATTTACCAGACTGGATTTCCCTGAGCTGCCAGGTCCAGAGCACAGTGAACGATCAGAAGCGCCAAGGCAGCCCAAGTGGGGGCCTGCACACTCTGCCTCCTCCGACCTTTCTCTCCTGCGAGAAGTGGGCAGGCCTGCTGCCCTGACACCAGAGGTGAGTGGAAGGTCCTGGTATTGGCTGATGTCTCTTGAGTGTTTTCCTTCCGACAGTGCCTGGTTTTCTTGGCATGGGAGGGCCTCTTGCAGCCCGCCTGGATGGCCTGCTCTGCTCTTGGAACTGTTTACAGAGCAGCTGTGGCACCTGGTCTGTCTGTTCTAAAGCTGCCAGTATGCCCCTTTATGTCCGGGAGCGGGCAGGCATTGTGCCTCGGGGGTGAAGGTGTTCCCCTAAACCCGCTACTTTCTCCACCCTGGAGCAGTACATCCCCCCCCAGAGAGGGAAACATTGAGGTCAAATGGCCCAGTGTAAACATGCAGTTCCTAAAGCTTTCTGTGTCTGTTTATCATTGATGCAGCTAATTCAGCAGAAGGGATTATAATGAGTAGCTCAGTTTGCTGCTTAGTGATTTTAAATTGTTGTTAACAATTCAGCTTGATGGTTTTATAAGTTCTAGCTCGTCACCTTGACTTGAGATTTCCAGGGAAAGACACTGGTTAGTAATCACCAAAATGGATCCTGACAGATCTCTGCTTAGGGATTAGGTAAGGCACGTTCCAGTGTGACAGAAAGGAAGGAGAAGGAGGGAGGAGTGCGGAACTCAGAGTGGCATCTGCTGCCTCTGGGGCAGATGCTGGCACCTGGAGGCCTGCAGTGAGTTGGGGAGTCCTTCTCCTGAGCAGGAGTACACGCTTTCTCCACCCGGCCCTGTGTGTGGGAGAGTTGGATCAAAGGTGATGAAAGGCTAACTCCAAGCTCAGAGAGGATGAATGGCACTGTGTCGTGGCCACCCCTGGGCCTGGAGTGCAGTGTGCTTGGACACTGAAGTCAAATACACACACTGCCTTGTCTGTTCACACGCTTGTACCATTTGTATTCCTGGTACCTTTAACGTTGAAAAGCAGTAAGGAAAACCCCCTGGTCTGTTTTAATGGAATTTTGAGGGATATGAGGCATTATTCTGAGTTGGTGATTTTTTATATGTGGGCTGTTTTTATTTTATTATTAACACACACACACACACACGTTATTTCTGATTTCAGTTGTGATGAAAACACAAAATGGATGCACGTCTGGAGCAGAGGAACTTGAGAATTGTTGTAAAGTTTGTTCCTGCTTGAGTTTATCAGTTTTCTTCGTCTTTCTCATTGTCTTTTGAGTTGTGGTCTGAATGTTTAGTCCGTTTCGCCCTGGTATCCTTGGCTGCCTTGCATCTCATACATGTGGCCACTTTATTAAGGGACAGGCAGGTGTTTCAGGGGCTTCTATTTGTTGTCACGAAGGACGTTTGGTGACTATTCGCCACTTTGTGTCTGTGCAGTGGGATCTGTGAGGCACTTCACACATGCCATCTCTGCTCCCCTGGGAGGCTGTGGAATCTGGTCTTGTTTGATAGCATGGACACTGTCTGTGTAGTCACCCCTTACTGGAACCCTGTGGAAACCACATGCATATGCTTTCTAGAAAGGTGCTAGCAGAACCAAAGTAAGTGATAGAGGCTTTCTTGTCAAGGGTATTGTGTGTGTGTGTGTGTGTGTGTGTGTGTGTGTGTGTGTGTGTGTGTGTGTGTTAAATGAGCCTATTTGGGCAGATTTTCAGGAAAGGCAGGGCAAGAGATCCCTGAAGGCTGAATGATTGTCATTTCACTTTGAATTTCAAAGTGAATTTGAATTGTAAGAAAACAATTGGTTTTCTTTTTAGGGTGAAGTAGTGGTGAAAAGTAAAAAACTCAACTGAATTTGTAACTGATAATGCTTCCGTCCCCCTTCTATACAGGGGGTAGAGGCTGCCCCCCCGGTGCTGCTCAGGGAGCTGTCATGGCTGCCCAGCTCCTCCTCGGCCCAGGGACTGTAGGCTGTTGATGAACTTACCTCCTTGTTAGTTTCGAAGTGGGAAATGAGTAAATGATTCTCCAGTTCCCTGCACAGAAGAGTGTCAGACAGAAAAGAGAGCAAAGGTTTCTAGGTTCAGTGTTTACCCTGTGAGGTGGGGCATCTTCTGAACTCAGAAGTGATAGCTGGGCCGGCAAGTGGTTCAGGGTCCCCAGCACCGCCTGGTGCCCCGGACACTGCTGGAGTCCCCCCCGCCAGCCCTCGCCCTCCCACATAGGGAGATCAGCTTCCTGAGCCAGCCTGTTCATGTAGGTGGTTCTCAAAAGCTTTTGGTCTTGGGATCCCTTAGAAAATCCCAGAGGACTTCTGGGATTTTCCGAGGAGGAGCTGGGCAGCCATGACAGCTCCCTGAGCAGCACTGCGGGGCAGCCTCCCTTACCCCCATATGGAAGGGGGACTGAAGCATTATCAGTTACAAATTTATTTCTTATTTTATGTTTAAGATTGTTACTGGTATTGTTCTCTGTATTGTTCAAGGTTAAAACCGCTTCGTTTTCCAGAATGCTTATTTGTTTAAAAGTCACAGAAATCCTTGACATAGGAAAACCCTTGTGAAAAATCATCTCTGACGTTAACAGCCTCAGTGAGAACAGCCTCGTAAGCCCCAAAGCCCTTTCTCGCCCAGCTCTGTCAGCTCTGGCTGGGTGGGAGTCGAGGTGGTCCTGGTGGTGGTGGTGGTGTTGTCATCATCAAACTGTGTGCAAAGAAGAGCAAGTGCGAGATAGGGGCAGAGGGGTGTGTCTGTTCTGTTTCCAGTCTTGATTCTCTGGATCCCTGAAGGAGTCTGTGGACCCCGAGACCACTCTGAGAACTGTGGGTCTGCCTGGCCAGGAAGTCATAGCGTCGGTCCTAACAAGACATGGCACAGTGTGATTGCTAGGGTGTTGCTCTGTGCTTAGGATAGCATGTGTCTGGGAGGGACCTTCTCTGTAGGGGATGGTCACGAGTCAGGGACCCACCTGCCGCCCCTCTTGGTTGGTGTCCTGTTCCGTCTGTGTGCAGCCTCTTGTGGGTGCCTGCGTCCTAGAAAGAAGCCCCCAGTTCCTGTGATAGCTAGCGATCTTTGGCTTCAGACATTAAAGGTGCACAGCCAGCCTAGCAGGGCTCAAATTCGAACTGTAGCTGTGGATTCCATGTATTTGGAATGTGAATGTAGTTGTGAACAGATTTTGTTTTCCAAAACTCAAATTGTGATGTGTCTACACACCTAAGTCCCCGAGTTACAGGAGCTGTTTCTAGGAAGTTGAGTTCACTGTCCATGTTCATGGAGCATTCGTATTGGGAGAAGAATGAATGCGAGCAGAATTTGCCTGTTGCAGGTAGAGTTAGTAGTTTCTAAGAGAGACATTTTGAATGATGGCCTAACTTTAGATTATGCTCTGAGTAATAACCCTGTGTGCCAGGCTTGTCTGGAATTTCTGAGGAATTTCTCTCTTACTGTTGAAATTGTTTAACAGTTTCGGTTGAGCAGTTATCTTGGACACCTGTGGGGTATGCTATTCGGCAGACATTATCTACAGAACCATCACCATACCCCAAAAATGTCACTGCCGCGATAAACTGAAAGGCAGTTTCTTCATCAGCAGATCCTGAAAGTGTTAGCATGTCATCTTCTGAAGCCTCAGGGCCTCTAGACAGAGTTAAGTACTCTGCCCGTGCTAGTGCAAAGGGATGCAGTGTGTTTGGATCCTGTTGATCTCTTGAGGCCTTGGCAAGTCTGGCAGTGTTTACACAGGTTCTCTTCCTCTTGGACCATGTTCATGAATCTGAGCTGCACTGGGCTTGCATCTCGAACAAATAATTGGTTGTCAGGAGCAAGGGACAGATTTGTAAGCGAGTGAAAGCCTGTGGTTCAGATCCTGCCTTAAAGTGTCTGACGTGAATTCTTCACAAAAGAGATGTGTCTTGGGTTCCAACTCTGGTCGTTGCATCCCACCCACCCCCTCCTTCCCCCCAGTCTTTGATCTTGAACCTAAATCGCTTTTACCTTCTAGGGTAGTGATAGCACTGTTTCCAGCTAGCCTGTGTCACTGCACTTGAGAATCCATTTCATTCCCGTTACATTGAGCTGCTGTTTTTAGTGATTCCTAGATTTGTTTCCTGAAGAGCCTTTTTTCTCTGGTCTAGATTTTGCTCTTGATTGACTTCATCAGTGTTCGTTACTGTGGCATGCAGTGCTGTGCTCATTTAGTGCCATGGACATCTCTCAGAGTTACACAGATTCTCTTGTGACATCTCACATTGTCATAGGCCATCAGGTACAAAGAAGAGTGGGGTGTTCCCACCTTATCGCCTGCAGGGACATGGGTTGGTGACAGTTTGGGCCAATCAGGTGTGTGGCAAGATACGTGGAGCTGACAGGGCCTCTTGTAGGCCCCACCCTGGCTGCACCCATGGGCTCGGCTGGATCAGCACTGAGGGCTACCCCGTCGCTGCTGAAGCAGGTTTTCAGTTCACTAATTTTGTTTCATTTTATAAGAACCCTTTAAAAACATGGTTTTGATCAAGAAAATATAAAGGTTTTTTTTTTAGTTTAGCAGAGTTTCAGAATTCAGAAAGTAAAGCATTGTCACGTGGAACCTGGGGGACTTACACAGGGTTCCAGGATGAGAGTAGCTGTGTCGTGCTCTCCCCTCAGACACTTGTCGGCCTGCCATACTCTCCCCTCAGACACCATAGCCTGCCGGGTCGTGTTCTCCCCTCAGAAACTTGGCTGTGTCATGCTCTCCTCTCCGACATCATTGTTGGCCATGTCGTCCTCTCCCCTCAGACAAGTTGTCAGCTGTGTCATCTTCTCACCATTGTTGCACTGTGCTGTGCTCTCCCTCAGACATGGTTGTTGGCTGTGTCATGTTCTCCCTTCAGACACTGTTTCTTTAACATTTTATTACAGAAGGACCAGAAGTGATTCCTTCAGGGATCTAACTCAGGAGTGGGGCGTCTCTTTGTAGTTTCCACCCTCAATGGCATGAACTGCCACCTCGGGCTCCTGATTGCTTCCTTAGACAGAGCTGGGGTGTGACTTTCCAGCTTCTAAAGACGGAAGTGGGATTGCTGGACATGGAACATTTGAGAACTGCCTTTTCCACCCATCAGTGTCTGGGTTGACCCTTCCAGCTCATTTTCTTCTAAGTGCTGCAGAGGCTTTTGAGGGGGTGTAGGCCTTGCTGTTTCTGAGCCTTCCTCCTTGTGAGAGAGCACCTGCAGGCTTGGGTGTGCTGGGGGACAAGGACAGGACAGGTCAGATGGGCGAGGGGAGCAGAGTGCGCACCCTGGCCAGATTCACATGGGTGCCAGGTGCCAAGGTCCCGGGGAGTAGAGTGTGAACGCTGCTTGAGAAAATCGAGTGTGTGAGACTGGGGCAGCTGCGGGGAGACTGGGCCCATGGCCTGGTTTCAAGGTTCCCTAAGGATTTGGGATCCGCAGTCAGGAGTAGCGAGCTCGGGGCAGGGGCTGGAAATCGTGTCATTAACAGGAGACTGAGACGAATCTGGGTCTACCCCGCAGTTCTTTTAACCCTTTTGCTTTTTCCCCCTCAGTTAGCCGAGTGCTGCCTCTTGGGAAAGTGGAGAATGAGGAGCTCAGTTCCCAGTGAAATCACTGTCCAGAGTGCGGTCTTGATCTTACCGATCCCTGGCATTTTTAAGTGGTCTTTGAAATGTTCTGAAAAGTTCTGAAACCTTTGCTGTTTTCTGTCCTAGTCTAAAGCAGCACCAGGGGGCAATCCTGAGCCAAATGAAGCCTCAAGAAAGAATAAGAAAAAGAAAGAAAAGTTGAAACAGAACCTCGAAGTCCCGACAGCTCAAGAGCCACCAAGGATTGAGGTCCATTGGTTTCCTCTTTACTCATTCTGTCTGTGCTCCTGAAGGCCTCCCCTGCCCAGAGTAGATGCAGGACTCCTAAGCGAGACTGCGGCATTTTCTTCCTCAGCTCTTCTCTGGGTACCATCACGGTGGCCTCCCATTTCTTCAGCCGCTCATGTCGGCTTCCCGTGGGCTCTGAGCAGGCAGGCCCTGACCTGGTCGCTCGTTGGTTTGAGGTATAGAAGGATTTGTGGGACATGTGCCTGTGCTGCTTCGCAGGACTGCTCTTCCCCGCATCGTCACTTGGCCGGTGTCTCTGTGCTTGTGCAGGACCTCCTTTAGCATTGGAAATTTCACTGAGAATGAATTTAGTCTGCCAGAGACTCACCATGGGTATTGTCAGACACATGCTAGAAATAAACTTGCAAAGTGCTTTTTAATTTGTTTCGTCAAAAATTTTTTTTCTTGTTTTTTGTTTTTGTTTTTGCTTTTGGGTGGCACCTGTCAGTGCTCAGGCTCTGCTCAGGGATCACTCTTGTGAGGTGCTGGGAATTGAACTCCGGTCAGCTATGTGCAAAGCAAGTGGCTGCCCTGCTGTGCTATTGCTCTAGCCTCTATTTTTTCTTGCATTTTTCTAAGTTAAATGGAATTTTTGGTGCTGAGGATTAACTCTAAGGCCTCACCCACGCGAAGTAGGTGCCTCCATCTGCCACTCACCTGCATCCCGGCACACCAAAGTGCTCTTTCAAAGTGCCACTCCCAGAATGCTCTTGTCTCCCAGGGAGCCTGCTGGGTTCTGAGCACATTGATCCTGGTTCTGCCAAAGCCGACTCAGCGTCCTGGTTCCTGCTGCTGGCAGGAGGCCTCTTGGGGCCCACACCCCCTGCTCCCTGCAACCTGTGAGGTCTCCCAGAGTCTCTTGGAGGAGCCTTTTCCTGAGGGAAACAGCATTGTGTGCTTCATTGGGGGCACAGCAGAGCATTATGATCGGGGTTTGATTTTGGTGTTTGGGGCCACACTGGCAGTGCTCAGGGATCTGCTTGGGATCTGCTTCTAAACTCAGTTCTATTCCACTGGTATTTGTCTATTTGTATTCCTGTATAATACTGTTTTACTTTTACCTTCTGTTTTTGGGCCACACCTGGTGATGCTCAGGGGTTACTCCTGGCTCTGCACTCAGGAATCACTCCTGGCAGTGCTTGGGGGACCATATGGGATGACAGAGTCGAACCGGGGTTCGGCCATGTGCAAGGCAAGCGCCTTACCTGCTGTCTTGTCACTCTGGCCCTAAAAACATCATGATTGGGACCAGTGTGATTTAAAGTATAGTCCCCATTTCTCTCATGGCTTCTCCAAGACACTTAAAATGACCAAAAAAAAAAAAAATCTTTTTGTTTTGGAGCCAACACTCGACAGTGCTCAGGGAAGGATTATTCCCGACAGGACTCAGGGTGCTGGGGATCAAACCCAGTCAGCCGCTTACTATCACTCCAGCCTCCCAAAGTGAGACATTTTAAAATGAATTAAACGTTTAGAGGCATTCCCCTGGGTTTGCATTGCTGTCACTCTGATGGCAGTACGGTTGGGGTGCCGCGCTTGAGCCCACACAGCAGTCGGGGCTGTCCCATAGGCTGCGCAGGCGCACCAGCCTGTCCCCCCCACACCCCACGCTTGCTGTCTTTGGGGCAGAAGACCAGAGCTCTGGTGTGTCTCTGTTTGATCTCAGAACAGTGATGCTTAAGCCCTTCCATTCTAGGTTTGGGGGCTGTTTTGTGTGACCTTTGAACCGTGAGGGAAGCCTGCATCTACTAGATATGAGCCAGGTGACATTTGCACTTGGACATTAGTCCCTTGTGACTAGTGGAGACCTGAAGGGCATGTGCTTTATCTAGGATGCCGAGGAATTCCCCAACCTGGCAGCGGCCTCTGAAAGAAGAGACAGAGCAGATTCTCCGAAGTTTCTGTCGAGACAGCAGCCACAGGCGAGTGTTGGGTTGGAACCACAATCGTTTCGGGTTTAACTTTGCTGGCTCAGCTAAATTCATAGAAAATCTGTTATCAGACCTCTTTGTGTGCTGACACCCGGGGCACCTCTTCTTTCATGGGCTCAGCAGAAACAAAGTTTCCCTCTTGTCCTAGGAGTGGGGTAACTTCTGCTCTGACAGAAGTAAGGGACGTGCAGATGGCCCGGGAGGTTGGAGTTTAAGGAAAAAGCAGAACTGAGAATATTCCTGTGGGAGTTCATCATATCTCGCAAATAGAAAAATAAGAGCTGCCTGACTCGATCCAGTGTCAAAACGAAGGCAAGGAGATGCTGGTCCTGCCCGCTCGCTGTCTCCGCTCTCACATGGCACTTCCTTTAACCCCCAGAATTAACTTGGAACGCTGTCCACTGCTCTGGAGGGCCTCTGGTGTGCTCGAGCATTTATCCCAGGGTCATTGATGTCCCGGTGGCAGGATGAGTGAGGCCTTGAGGTTCCGACACAGGAGACCCCAAGCCCCTACAACTTTCCATACAGTCTAAATCCCAGGTCATGGCTGTTTGAGAGCTAGCACTTTGTTAAGTGTGTATCTGACTTGGTACCTACATTTAGTGCTCATCTGCCAGATGGACTTGTCAGAATCGGACATTTACGAGTCTTTGTTCATATCCTCGCAGACCATGGCAGCTCATTGTCTCTGGACTGAGAGGGAGTGTGGTCTGATGAGAGACACCAGACAGGGGCCGGAGCGATAGCATAGTGGGTAGGGCGTTTGCCTTGTATGCGGCCAACCTGGGTTCGATCCCCGGCATCCCATATGGTCCCCCAAGCATGGCCAGGAGTAATTCCTGAGTGCAGAGCCAGGAATAACCCCTGAGCATCACTGGGTGTGACCCAAAAAGAAAAAGAAAAAGAGACACCATACAGCCTGGCACATAGGCTTTGCTGCGGGGCTTCCCGCAGTCTGTGCGTGCTTTTGTAAGCCACACCTTGTTCTTCATGAGGGCGATAAACTCAGTGGTTTCATCTTTATTCTGTGTTAATAATGAGGAAAAGGAAGTAACTGCGGTGCCAGTATTGGGTGGTAGACTGGGAGTGATTGGGGGGGTTATGGGGGAGTTCCTTCCAGGATTGTTATGTCTTTCCATCAGTATCATTCTGTCTCCTGTTACATATGGCTGCATAATAAAATGAAAAACTCTTGGTCAGTTTGTCAAATGAGGTATCATGAGTAAACTTCTGGGTTTTTGACTTTTCAGAATAGTTTTAGAAGCAGCACAAAGAAGAGCCAAGTGCCGGTGCAGCTGGACCTGGGCGGGCTGCTGACGGCCCTGGAGAAGAAGCAGCGCTCCCAGAGTGCAAAGCAGTCATCCAAACCCGTGGTGTTCTCGGGTAAGGCGCCTTGGGGAGCGTTCTTCATACTGGCCATCTGACGTTCGTTTCTCAGAATCGGGATTCATTCTGACGTAAAAAAATAATACTGTCGGGACCAGAGTGATAGGACAGTGGGTGGGGCACTTGCCTTGCACATGGCTAACCCGGGGTTTGATCCCCAGCACCCCATAGGGTCCTCCAAGCACCACCAGGAGTGATTCCAAAGTGCAGATACAGGAGTTACCCTGGAGCATCACCAGGTGTGGCCCCAAAACAAAAAGAAAATAGTATTTATTATACAGGAATTGACAAAGACTAGTGGAATAGAATTGAAAGTTTAAAAACAGATCTTTGCATGAATTTTTGACAGGGTGCAGAGTTCTCTTAAAGAACAAGAGAAGCTGGACTGGAGAGAGAGTACAGGGATTAAGGTAGTTTGTCTAGCCTGCAGCCACCGCCAGCTAAGCCTGTGGTACAACATGGTCTCCTGGACTGTGACCCACAGGCACAGCTGTGTGTGTCCCAAACCACTCCCCCCACAGATAAAGTCACTCTCTTCAGAAATGGTTACTGTTTTTGGCATATCATATACGCCACAGGGAGCTTGCCAGGCTCTGCCATGCGGGCGGGATACTCTCGGTAGCTTGCTGGTCTCTCCGAGAGGGATGAAGGAATCAAAGGAATCGAACCCGGGCTGACTGCCAAAAAACTGGAGGCTGAGGCCCATCCTTAGTGTAAACTGGGGGTGCTTTAACCAGCTAAGTGCCCCCAGCTTACACTCTGGATAAAAATCAACTCAAAATGATCCAAAACTCAAATATAAGCCAAAACCATCGAAAACAGCAAGGGTAAATTACTTTGGTTCAGACAGTGAACCTTTAAGATATGACACTAAAATCACAGGCAACAGAGGAAAAGATGAAATGGATTTCATCAAAATTAAAAGGTTTAATTTTAAATGAAAAGCTTGGGCATTATCAGGGAAATGGAAGACAAAATAGAAGACAGGCTCCAGCTCCGGGGTTCCATTCATAGCTAGACACTGACTGGGTGTCTGGGAACTGACTTGGCTGGAGTTTGGGGCACTGGGTCCCTGAACCAGGCTCTCTTGCGTGGTGTTCCCAGGACCGCCTGCAGGTGGCGTTGGTTCCTGCACAGCTCCCACGTGGTACCCTGGAACTGCTGGGGTGGGGATCAGGGCATGGGCGTTTCTTAACAAGTGAATGGTAGGATTTCATTTTTATAGCTTGCTTTCTGTCAGTGTTTTCTTAAAGTGGGGGAACTATGAAGACCTAGCCACCAGTTCTAGCAAATTAGCAATTCACCATCTTCCTGCATCTCTCGCCTTCCTTACAAAGACATTCCAAAATATTTTTAATCGGGGCCACACGTGGCAGTTCTTAGTGGGAATGTGACGCAGTGCTCGGGACCACACTGTCCCGATCCCCTGATTTTCTTTTCTTTTTTTTCTGTTAAAATGGTGGGAGAACGGCTTAAAGAGCCTCTTCCACATGCCCTAGGATGTTCCCACCAGAAATGCAACCTTGGGCTGGGGTGGTGTTACAACAGGGAGGGCGCTGGCCTTGCACACAGCTGACCAAGTTGGATCCCTGGAAACCCATATGGTCTCCAAACACTGCCAGGGTGATTCCTGACTTCCAAGGCAGGAGTAAGCCCTGAGCACCGCCAGGTGTGCCCCCCAACCCCCTGAACAGGAGGAAAGATGGGGCAGGAGGCACAAAGGTCTGATTACGGCACCTGAAGGCATTTCTGCCCCAATCCAGTTTCCCGGGGTCCCTGACAGACACTAATGTCTTAGAGAATCGCTGCTGTAAGAAGAACCAATTGGTGCAGATGGACCTGACCTGGGGTTGTTTCTGTGGGGTGCGGCCTGTGACCCCACATGCTCATTGTGTTACAGTTGGGGCCGTACCAGTCCTCTCCAAAGAGGCCACGTCCGGCAAGAAGGCCCATCGTGTCGGCCAGCAGAAAACCCCACACAATCCCCTCGACTCCAGCGCCCCCCTGGTGAAGAAGGGGAAGCAGAGGGAGGTCCCCAAGGCCAAGAAGCCAACCTCACTAAAGAAGGTGTGCGGGGCCTGCACCCAGGGCACGGGGAGGCGAGGCAGATGGAGGCGCTGGGCTCTCCTTTCGTACCTCCTGCCCAGCTCATGTGCTGGGCTGGGTGGCAATGCTCACGGCTTCCATGACGCACGCCAGGTCCTGTCTGCCCTCTGCTGCCTTGGTGGGGGCTGGCTCTCACACAGGCAGCAGGAAGCTGGGATCTGCCTATACCCCTGTGCGCTGCACTCTGCTCCTGGGGTGCCCCACAACACTTCAGAGCTGAGAGTCAGAGGGTGGGTCTGGACCAGGTGGGCGGAGGAGCCAGCAGGTGTGAGAGGAAGGTCAGCTTGGCGTAGGTACTATTTTCTGAGCCTTAAGTATTGAGGCAGTTCTGACGGTTGTGTTCACTCTTAAAGATTATTTTGAAGGAGCGGCAGGAGAGAAAGCAGCAGCGTCTCCAGGAAAATGCCGGGAGCCCCACATTCACCAGCAAGGAGGTGCACGAGATGGAGAGTGGGGGTGATGAGCAGCCTCCTGAGCAGGCAGAGCCCGACCTCGCAGGTACCAGCAGCTATGGCAGTCCCTGCCCCAGTGCATCACCTGCTGTCCCGTGCTTCAGGAACACATTTTTCCACCCCAGTTCAGGAGATATATGAGGGAGCCGGGAGAGGCCCCAGTGGGGCCCTGAGCCAGAGGGATGGACCTGGCAACTTGAAGTGGTACCAGGAATCCCACTGCCTGCGGCATGGCTGCCTTCGCCCAAGCGTGGTGGGCTGGGCCGGGCAGACAGAAGTGGCTGTGTCCAGTATTTGTGTCACTAAACTGGATGCCCAGGACAGCATGCGGGGTGCAAAGTAGTATGTGTCCAGGGTTGAGGCCGGGCTGCCCCCACCGCAGATTTGTCTGGGTGGAATCTGGGTGACAGTCTCAGTGCACGTGTGTGCGTGCGCATGTAAACCTGGTGTTCCCTTTGCTGACATTTCCCGTGGCACAGGCCACCCCTCCCTACTTCCCTGTGGGGATGCTCTTGGCTTTTGCATTCCTTCCCAGTTCTTCTGCGCTTGCACGGTTGAAAGTCTCAGGGCAACCACTAGAGGGCGGTAGGCTGTTACTGAATCCTGCCTGCTCTTTAAACGAATTTTTTTTGTTTTGTACCAGTGGGATGCTGGAGATCTAACCCAGGTCTGCCACGTGCAGGTGCAAGCACACTCCCCACTGAACTCTCTGCAGCCCTAGAATCAGGCCTGCTCTCTAAATGCACTTGCCCAGGCGCCTTCTGTGTGTGTCCTGTGTGTGTATGTAGCTCTTAAGATTTGATAAGGGAGTGGTCTCACACCCCGAAGTGCAAAAAGCCAGAAGTGAAAAATCTGTTTGTAAAGCTTTTTAATAGAAATTACTCCACGGTTTTTTAAATGAATCTACTGACTTCTGTACCCCATGCTTTAAAAGTGATTTGGATGAGATCTCAGTGGGCTGAGCATTTGCTTTGCCTATAGGAGACTGGGTTTCATCTGGGCTAACACATGGTCTCCAAAAAACCACTAGGAGCGCCCCCCATGCAGAGAGCTGGGAGTAGCCTCCAAGCATCTCCAGGTGCAGCCCCCCAAAACACGGTAAAAGGTGGTCTTAATGGTGGTGAGTCGGAGACTGCCACAATAGCAATAACTAGCAGGCGGGGCGGCTCCTGGCGGAGCAGAAAGCTGCCCTGTCATCTCAGGCACTTCAGTTTTCCCGTTCCTAGAACACTAGCCACAGCTGTGCTTGAGTGTGTCCATGTGTGTGTGTCTTTGTGCATGTGCATGTCTGTACATGTGTGTGTCTGTGCATGTCTGTGCACGTGCATGTACGTGTTTCTGTGTGTGCTTGTTTTGTGCCCGTAGGTGTGCATGTGTGTGTGTGTGTGTGTGCGCATGTTCCAAGCCTGGCTGCATTAGTGCCTTCAGAGGCACCCCGCTTGGGCACTGCTGGTGCACTGGGTAATTGCGTCTCTCACCCTAGGGGATGTGGCCGCACCTGTGGCTTGTGGTCCTGCTGAGGATAGCAAGTCTGAGGAGCAGCCAGGGGCGGAAATCCTGCCTGAGTCTGAACCCTCCTGCCCAACCCCTGAGACCAGCTGCCCCCCGAAGATTCACAGCCGGAGATTCAGAGAGTAAGGGGGGGGGGGGGGGCTTGGCAGACTTGGCAGGCACCAGGCCTGCCGTCCCTTCATGGGGTCAGGGTGTTTGCCTGCTTGTGTGATGCAGAGGGGAGGTCACGGGTGACTGTGCTTGGCTTCCCACCTGGGGCTTTGTTGTCTGGGTGGGGCAGGGAGCGTGAGGGCCATGTCGCCAAAACCTCTGGGGATTTGCCCTTTAACCAGCAGGGGTGAGGGCTGCTCATGGCGGGTGCCTCTGGGCTAACCAGGCCGTGTTTCTTCTAGCTACTGCAGCCAGATGCTGAGTAAGGAAGTGGACGCCTGTGTGACTGAGCTGCTGAAGGAGCTGGTTCGTTTCCAAGACCGCATGTACCAGAAGGACCCGGTCAAGGCCAAGACCAAGCGCCGCCTTGTCTTGGGGCTGAGGGAAGTGCTGAAACATCTGAAGCTCAGAAAGCTGAAGTGCATCATCATTTCTCCCAACTGTGAGAAGATCCAGTCAAAAGGTAAAGCTCGGGGGTCACCAGCACGCCCTGGCCGGGAGAGATGACTTGCGGGCCTCGGTGCTTGACCTTGTTTCGTGCAGAATTCACTACTGGTCACTGGGGTCGGCCAATCTGTGGGTCCCGCTGCCCTGTGGACTGAGGTGCTGGTCTGTCTGGGAGCAGCAGTCACCGCTGAATCCCGGGTTCTACGATGGCACCAAGGCTGTCCCTGTACTGGGCCTTGGGCCAACCTGTGTCCTGACTCGGTCGGTGCCTCCTCAGCAGGTCTCTGCCGTGGGGCCTTTCTGACCCGGTTCCAGGTGCTGCCCCTCTGCAGCCCTCCCCTTGCTTTGATTTGTTACTCCCCCGTCCCACGTGAGCGTTTCCCGCAGGGGCCCCTGGGAGGACTCTGGAAACCTGGCCAACTTGACTCTTTAGTCTTTATTTGCCTTTTCTCTTTTCTTTTCTCACCGTTTAACTCACTTGGTTATATTCATAGCTTGACCTTTGACATTCATAGTCTTGAAGTGTAAAGTGTCCCTGACCTGCCCCCACTGTCCTCAGGTCACTGCTCGCCGTCTGTTCATGATCTCTCTCTCCCCTCCACTGCAGTTTTCAGGCACTTTGCCTCTGGACCTCAGCTGGATGGCTTGGGCCGAGCCCGGTTCTTTGGGGCCAGGTTCCCACTCTTCCTGGTGCTGCTGTCTTGGCACTTCCTGGCACCGCTGTCTTGGCACTTCCTGGCACCGTCCCTGGGGGCTGGTGGCTGTCTACGCCTCCTCGTCCTCTTGGCCCCGCTTTCTGGAAGGTTCCTCTGCTACACCTTCTCGTTGTCCCTCAGACTTATCTGTGCCACTACCAGTGTTTCCCGATGCAGCTGTTCCCCTAGGATTCTCTCATGGTCTCATGGCGCCACAGCTACCCCACCTCTGAGAATCGGAAAGACCTGAATCCTCCTTCCCCCTGCTGAGTCTCATCCCTCTTGGGGTCACTGATAGCTCCGGTCTTTTGTGGAGATTGCCACAGTGGCTTGTGGTTGTCTGCTTGTGTTTGATCACTCTGAGAATGAACTAGAGAGCTGGCGTGTGACTGCACCTACATGTCCTGAATGGAGCTTGGTTGTGGAACATTTGTCTTACATAGGTGAGGCCCTGGCACTGCTACCAAAAAAAAAAAAATTCAGGCTCTGAGTAGCAGTGAAGGATGGTGGTTTGCAGCTGATGCAAGCCGACGGCTGTTCAGGTTCCGGCCAAGCAGGTACAGGGGCTGCCCGGCGCATCCACCACGAAATGAGCATCCCAGTATCCCACACACCTGACCTGACCAGCCTCGGGGGTGGCCATCCAGCAAGGAGGGACCCTGCTTCCATCATGCCTGCTGCCTGCCCTAGGAAGGTCCTGCTCCCACCCCCAGCAGCCACTCCCCACGCAGCCCCTTCCTGGGGTGTTTGCACCCCACCGTTGGCCTTCCTGCAGCTGCAGTCCTGGTGGTCTCCTTTTCAGATGTCTGTTCGCAACTTGGACATGGAAGTTAGATTCTTACTGTTGTTCTTTGTCTATTGGGCCATTCAGCGGTGCTCAGGGATCACTCATGATGAACCTCGGCGGGGGTACCAGTGGGACCCTGGGGATTGAATCTGGGTCAGCCATGTTCAGGCCAGCTCCTTACTCGCTGCGCTGCCTCTCCGGGCCCGCCCCCCTGGGTAGGAGCTGCAGCATTTCCAGGCCTCAGCACCACAGGGCACCTTCCCTGGGATTTCGGGGCTCCTCCTTCCCGGAAGCATCGAGGCCCTTTTACTGCCATTTTTCTGCTGGGCTTCATCGTCACAGTGAAATTCCTCAATCTCTCTTCCGGGTAAATGTTTTCCTTCCCCTGTGACCTCTTGTGCCACCGGGTCATTTCTTCACGATGCCTCTGGCCAGCCACCCTGAGCACACGACATGGCAGCTTCTGTGACATCTGTATCCCACGCTGCTTCCTCTACCTCCAGTCCCTGCAGCTCTGTGCTACTGGGTGGTGGCCCCATGTGTGGCCACCTCACAGCAGTGGCTTTGGCTGGCAGTCGTGACACCACAGAGGGCTCCCGTGCAGACGGGGCTCACTGGGTGGCGTCGGTGTTGGGAAGCCCTGTGCTCCCTCTGACCCAGTGTCCTTTCCCTCGGCAGGTGGGCTGGATGACACGCTGCACACCATCATCGACTGTGCCTGCGAGCAGAATATCCCCTTCGTGTTCGCCCTCAACCGCAAGGAGCTGGGGCGCAGCCTGAACAAAGCTGTGCCCGTCAGCGTGGTGGGCATCTTCAGCTACGACGGGGCGCAGGTGCGGGGGCGCTGCACCCCCACGGCGTCCCCACAGGCTCTGTGCCCGGGGCTGCCCTTGCCGCTGTCCCTGCATTCCTGCAGGCCCTCTGCTCGGGAGACCTACCCCTGCTCTCTCTCTCTCCCGCCCAGGACCAGTTCCACAGGATGGTGGAGCTGACGATGGCGGCCCGGCAGGCATACCAGGCCCTGCTGGACAACGTGCACCAGGAGCCACCCAGGCCCCCGGCCCCGCCCAGCTCGCCCAGCCCGGCCCCCGCGGGGAGTGAGGAGCCCCACTACAGTGAGTGCTCAGGCAGTCCCTGGCTGGGCAGGGTGGGCAGCGCCCTCACAGGTCTCTTTCAGCGCTGGGGGGCTTAAGCAGGGCCACTCAGGCTGGACTCCGAGGACACCCCAGTGGACGGTGGCCTCGGGGATAGCCATGCCCGGGGGAACTGAGGGGGGTGCCGCCGGGGCAGGCGGTAAGGCGTCTGCGGGCCGGCACCAGGGGGCTGCTGACGGCCGCACGTTGAATGGAGCCGTTCTCTTGCTCGCAGTGGCGATCTGGAGGAAACATCTGGAAACCTACAGCCAGTGCCCGATAGGGCTGGAAGATCCGCTGGAGGCCCCCGCCTCCCCGATGATGAAGCTGAGCTTATGAGACTCCTCTCCCTGTGTCTGTGTTCAGGGTAAGGGGCGGAGCGGGGCCTTTCCTCTGGTCTTCACTGTCGAGCAGACCTGCAGGACCGATGGGTGGGATCCAGGGCGCTGAGGGCCTGGAGCGCCAGAAACAGGGTGTCGGGAGCCATCAGCTGTCAAGGAAACTTCCTCTCTGTTGCCAAATAGCCGAGCCAGGTCCGTTTGCAGAAGGTGGCAGCGGGCGAGGGTGGGGTGGGTGAGGCAGACAACCGGGCCCCCGTCCTAGGAGCCCCCTCACCGTGTGGCCTCTCAGCTGGAAGATGTTCGGACTTCATGAAGGACTCGTGACAGGAACTGCACAAGGAACGTGGGTTCTGGATATGAATTCTTCTTTGCAGTCTTTTCTTTTTCCAAGAAACGATGAATATTGACATTTCTAAAGTTTATTTGTGGTCATTTAAAAAAACCTTTAACTCTTTATTTAGTAAATGAGCTTGCTCTGGAAGTGATTTCTTAGAGGCCAAAGGGATAGACAGATGGCTACTTCGGGTATTTTTCTCTAAGAAGGTACCTGTTTATTTTGAATAAAGAGCAGTGATTCCATTCTGCAGGAGCTGGGCTCTCTCTGGCTTCTCAGCTGCCCTGTGCCTGTCCCCAACCCGCACTGTCCCCCGTGGGCTCCCGTTTGTACCCAGGGCCCTGACCAGAAGAGTCGTGCGTGCCCAGAACCCCGCTCAGCCCGGCCTGCTAGTCCGCCCATCACCGTCACCAGGGAAACGACAGGGATGGAGCCTGCTGCTCTCTGCTTGGCGGCTGGCCAAAGTCACTTGGGTTTAAAGATGTTGCTAAGCGGCTGGGAGCAACAGTACAGCGGGTAGGGCACTTGCCTTGCACGCGGCCTGCCTGGCATCCCAGATGGTCTCCCCAAGCCCAGGAGTAACCCCTAAGCACAGGCGCGGGAGTAAGCCTGAGCACTGCCAGAAACAATACAAAAATGCTGTTGATTCCAGCCTAACCACTTCCACCTGCCTGAAGAGCAGGTGGAAGTGGACTGTTGGGTGAGGATCATAGGGTGTGTGGGCAGGGCTGTGGCAGCCCGAGGTTGAGGGGCAGAAGCCCTATATTGTCGTGCCATGGAAAATAGCATTACTCCCTGTGTGCCCGTGTCTGCAGTGCAGGCCACACGGGCGGGTGGGGGCTGGGAGGGAGAGATCAGAAAGTGGCGGGCAAAGCTGTCCCGGGAACATTAGCTCATGCGGGGAGAAGAGAGAAGTTGGCAGTGAAGTCCTCTGCCCAGGAAGGTTTGCTGGGCCCTGGTCATGCTGTCACTCCTGGCAGAGCCACTGCAGGTGACATCTGTGGCCAGTGCCATCCTCAGCAGTGGCTGGAAATAGGCAGAGAAGCCTCCACACCCCTCTGCCCAGCCCAGCCCTGAACTCACAGAAGAGATGTAGAACTGGGCCTTTATTTTCTCGAGAGAGTAGGCAGCTAAGACTTAACCCGTCACTGGCTTCTCACCAGACTCCCGGTTCTGCTGAGCTCAGTGCCCTGGGCACACATTGCAGAAAACAGTCCCCCAGGAACGACACGGAGTGACTGAGCCGACTGGACTCCACAGAACCTTGGGAGGGCGCAGGGGGTGAGGGGGTTGGTAAAAGCTGCACCCCAGCACGTAGCTCTGTGAGCCAGATGGGGCAGTGGGGACAGTCCAGAGGCACCTGGGGTAAAGGCTCGCTGCTGTCCTGACGGCTGTCGGGGAAGCTTTGGCCTGGTGAACACTCAGGGTATGTTCGCTCTGAAGGACAGGGATTGGCTGGGCCCACAACAAGTGGCTTTTGTCCTCGGAGATGCCGGTGTTGCATTCACAAGCAGGAAGACCTCGGCAGAGGTTTGGACGCCTCTTCAGGCCTCTGCTCACCCAGGAACCCAGGGACAGAGTGCAGCATAAGGACACACCAGAGCATGGCCCTCCTATGCAGTGTCCCTGCTGGCGCCTTGGAGCAGATGTGCGTGCTGCTCTCTGAGACCCCACCTGGGTGCTGGGCACTTCGGTTCCCTGAGGGATCGCAGTGTCATTGGACCCGGACAGGATGGTGGCACCCGTCCTCGCTGCCCTCCCCTGTGGGCTTTGTGGGTGATGGGCTGGCCAGGAGGAGCTGCAGGCCTGGCCGCTGATGCCGTTCCAGACTCTTCCGCGCTGCTGTCCCAGCACGCAGACTTCCTGCCACATAGCCTGGTCCCAAGATGACCCCATGCTGGCGGCTAAAAGGCGTCCTGCTCACAGCGCTCCTGAAAGAACAGCAGCCTCTGAAGTAGGCACAGCAAGGACCCACCCTCCTGACCTCCCCTGCAGCCCAGAAATGGAAGTGGGGGCGGTAAGCGGGAGGTAGAGCGTCAGAAAGGCCCCACCTTTGTCAGCCATAGTGGGGCCTTCAGGGCTCCCGGACCCAAAACTTGGAAGCCTCAAGTTTATGCTGCTATGGCCCTGCCCCTGATCCCCTCCCTCCCTCCTCCTCTCCTGCCCCTCCCCTTCCCCCCACCTCCTCCCCTTTCACTTCTACTTTCTCTTCTCTTCCCCTTGCTCCTCCTCTACCTTTTCTCCTCCCTGCCCTCTCCCCTCCCCCTAACTCAGAGACAGGGCTGCTCTAGGGTCACCCCGTCTAGCTTTCTGGCTCTGTCCAGGGGTGACCTGGGGCACCTTCCCAGGCCTCGTCCTGCCTCGTGTGGGTCTGTCCCCACCCCCCACCCCCCTTGCTCTTTTCCCAACTGGGGTCCCAGATGCTGGCAGGGAAGTGATGTGGGGTCCCCAGGCCCCCCTAGAGACCCAGAGGCAGCCCTGCCCAGGGAAGCCACATACCCAAGCCTTCCTCCAGCCCTGCAGCAGGCGGTCGTGCTCACCCGCCGCAGCCCTCCAGGCGCTGAGCTCCCGTTGCCACTGCTCCTGCGGTGCCGCTTCTGCAAGACACACGGAGCCACTCAGGCCTCAAGGCAGAGCGAGCAGCCACTGCTCCTGGGCCTCCTCCCAGCCTGCCTGTGTCCCCGCCACCAGCACACATGGCACTGCTGCCGGAGTCATCGTGGGCATCTTAGTGCAAAGGGGAGAAATGTGGACTGTCCGTTTCTCAGGTGCAACATGCATGTACAAATTGTGTGTGGGAGCCACCCCTGGCAGTGCTGGAACCCTATGGGATGCTGGGGGTTGAACCCGGGTTGGCCACATGCAAGGCACGCGGCCCTACATGTACAAACGCTTGAGAACAAAACAGGAAAAAGTACAAGGTGAGAGGCAGTGATGGGAAGTCGGTTCGGCAGACCCAGCCAAACGTGGCATATGGGGAACGAGCACTGCAGCCATAGGTGAAAGAGCACAGGTCCGCTTTCAGGGAGGCCCGTGCCCACTCTGCACCAGGCACTGACCCTACAGGGCGGCTGGGCACCACCAGACAATGTAAGTGTGGAAGGAAGGGAGTATGATCAGCCGACTGGACTGGGCAGTACGATCACCTTGGCTCAGGTGGGCAAGGAGTGTGGAGGCCTCCCCAGAGACAGCGCGGCTATGGGTGTGGGTGTTGGGTAGGTGCATGTGGGCTTTGTGTAGTGACGTTAAGTGTTGTGTGCAGTTAGGAGTGTGTGTGTGCCTTGTGTGTGTGGCGGTGCGAGGTCTCACGTATGGGGGTGTATTGGGGTGTGTGTGCGTGCCTTGAGGCATGTGCTTCTCAGTGACACCTGGGCACCGGCCTGTCATGTCCCAACCCCCCTGCCCCGGTGTCCTCTGGGTAGGCTGCAGGGCACTTACCAGGTCTCAGGACGTGGACCCATGTGGAGGCTGAAGTGCGCTCCGAGGCAGAGAGGGCAGAGCAGCGGTACTCCGTGCTCTCCTGGACAGTGTCCCGCAGCCAGCTGAGCACGTGGGCCCTGCCGCTGGGCAGCGGGAGCTTCTGCACAGGGACGCACGTCTCTGGCTCACGTCCATTCTTCTCCCAGACGAGGCGAACATCTGCAGGACCTGGGGGCACAGAGAGTATCTCCACCTGCATCCACAGTCCACACAGTCCATGGGGCAGGACCATCCAATCAGCGGTGCTGAGGGGACAAGTATCACTGAGGGGGCACTGCTGAGGGGACATGCACTGTGGAGGGGACGTATCACTGAGGGGGCACTGTGAGGGGACATGTATCACAGGGAGGACACACTGCTAAGGGGACAAGTATCGCTGAGGGGACATATTACTGAGGGGGCACTGCTGAGGGGACATGTATCTGAGGGGACAAGTATCACTGAGGGGGCACTGCTGAGGGGACATGTATCACAGGTGACACACTCGCTGAGGGGGCATGTGTCACTGAGGGGGCACTGCTGAGGGGACATGCACTGAGGAGGGGACGTATCACTGAGCGGGCACTGTGAGGGGACATGTATCACAGAGGGGACACACTGCTGAGGGGACAAGTATCGCTGAGGGGACGTATCACTAAGAGGGCACTGCTGAGGGGACATGTATCTGAGGGGACATGTGTCACTAAGGGGGCACTGCTGAGGGGACACACTGCTGCACAGGCAGGACTTAGGGGAGGCCCAGCGCCAGCAGGTACCCTGGAGGGAGGCCCAGAAGTGCAGTCTGGGGGCAGTTCACTCCCAGTGGCCAGGGAGGCTCAGTGGCAGCTGTCAGGTGGACCTGGGGGTTCTGGATGTGACCAGAAGTGCAGTCTGGGGGCAGTTCACTCCCAGTGGCCAGGGAGGCTCAGTGGCAGCTGCCTTATGGACCTGGGGGTTCTGGATGTGAGTCAGGCCTGAGTGCTGCCCCACACTGCAGGGACAGGTTGATGTGTTCTGCAGTGGCCAGGCACCGCCTGCTGGGCCCTGGGGCTCCTGGCCAGTGTGCTCAGGCTGCCTCAGCCCCTGGGTCCTCAGGTTGGAGTGGGAGGGGTTCTGGCGGGCCACTGTAGATACCGGCACTGTGTTTAAAACAGAAATAAAGCACTGCTTGCAAAGACGTGAGGTTGGTTCTGAAGGAAACTCAGCAAGGCACTAGAAGCATCTGGCATGGAGGACAAGGGACGAGGGCTGGGGCTGGTTCAGTGTGGGGTGTTGCATGGGTCTCACTGTGTGCCATTTCTTTGCACCCAAAGTGAGGTGCTCTGGTCTTAGATGTTGGTACCTTGAGTTTGTACATCCTGACCGGACCGCCTCTACCCACACCCACTCAGGCCCTTCCTAAACGGCCCACACCTTCCCACTCATCCTCCCCATGGCCCTCCCCACTGCCTCTAAGCAGATGACCAGAGTCTCGCGGAAGTTGCTGGCCTTGGAATTCAAACCTTTCTGACCCCTGAAGTCAGTCCTGTAAAGCCCAGCATTTTCCCTGAGCCCTGCACTGCCCAGGGATGACGGTGGGTCCCAGACACTTAAGGAAGGTTTTCACGAACCAAGCCCTGAGCTGAGCTGGCTCCTTGGTGCCTGGAGCCTCAGGAGTTGGAATTTTGGGGGACCAAGTCTGAAGAACCCCCACGTCACGGGCAGATGTGCCCCCGGCACCACTGTCCAAGCATCACTTGATGAACTGGGTCAGGCGGTAGGATGGAGTACTTACATTCCATTTATTCTTTTTAAAACTATCCAACTCATCGGAAGGCAGACGGGATTCAAGAGAGAGATGAAAAGAGTGAGTTAAAACCCAAGGGCTGGGTTGTGACACTGGCGGGGTTGGGGAAGGGGGGGAATCCCCAGGTGGCAGCTAGAACCCACCATGCCCTAAGTGTGCTCAGGTGACGAGGTACCAGGTTAGTCCCACACCCCCCAAGCACCTCCTGAGCCCTGGGGATCTGTCCAGCTCGGGGTGCAGGTGCAGGGGTGTCAGTGGCCCTGCCCCCATAACATCGCCCCCGCCCCCCGCCCCCCCCCCCCCCAGCCCAGCAACCACACCGGGCCCTCAGCAAAGAAGGTCCAGCTGAGCTGCAGGTACAGGGGGCAGAGGAAGGCCCTGCCCAGGGCTCCAGCTGCACCCCCACACCCTACCTTGGAGGCGCCCATTCCCTCGGGCAGCTCCATATGGCTCTGCTCTGTCTGTCTCCTGGGCCAGGCCTGGAGCCTTCTAGGTGGCAGCTGTCCCAGTGTCCTCAGCTGCCCTTCTTGGGGCTCCCCCTGCCAGTCCCAAGCTGTAGGCTCTGTGCTCACTGCCCTTCCTGTTTCCAGTCTGTGGCCCCTCAAGGGCACACAAGGTCAGGTGCTATGGGGGGCACCTGCTGGCAAGGGATGGACATCTCGCTGGAGTGAGGCAGGGGGGGGTCTCCCGCACCCTAGGGCAGCCCCGTGGCCCCTTCCTCTCGGGATTGCATGGAAGGAGCCTGGAGCATGGTGGGTCCCTCCTAGGTCGCCCAGGGGCAAAATATCTCTAGTGCACAACTGTGGGCACAGGAGGAAAGCTGGGGCCTCAGTTTCCCTCCGAGTGCTGGGAGGAACCAGGACACTGGTGAGGCCCTAGAACAGCCCTGCCTCTCCGACCCGAGGCTCTGCAGGCAGGCCCACGACCACTTTCCTTGGCTCCCGGTCTCCCTCGAAGAAACACCCACATAGAATTCCCAGAACCCAGTTCTGCTCTGGGCGGGCACAGCATCTCTCCCGGGGTCAAAGTGCACAAACAGCCCAGCCCCAAGAGCTAAGAGCTGGTGCCATGAGGCCCCCATGGGCCAGTGAAGGGCGCCTGGTGCCTGGCTCCTGCGGGCCCCAGCAGGGCACCCTGGCACCTTCTACACAGCCAGACGAGGAGGCCCAGGGGCTCAGAGATTGCCCCAAGGGGAACAGAGTCCTCGACCCGACCCACGCTCAGATACTGCCCCTCCTTGCCTGGCCTGAGCTGGCAGCGCCTCCAGCAGCCATGTGGGTGTACGTCCAGCCAAGACCGTGTCCTCTTGAGAGCAAGAAGACACTGGCGGCCGAACACACCCAACATTTGTGCGCAATTCAGATAAAGGGGGGACATGGCATTTGCCTTTTCTGCTCTAACAGCCTCTAAGTGGCACTTGTTTGCCGTTACCACCAATAGCCATGCGCTCTGGAAAACCAGGGCCACATGGGGCCCACGGGGCATCTTCCATGTCTAAGGGACATGCACTCGGCTGCAATCTTTTGTTTAACCAACACCAGGCAAATCACCAACTACTTTCCCAAAGGCTCAGAGTTCATTTGAAGAAATTCCTACTTGGTGGGTGTTGGCTATCAACCCGAAGTGTTTTTCGGCTTCATCAGTGAACTGCCCCTTTTCCTTCCCCAGAGACACTTACCATGCTCTTGTGAGCACCCCTAATCCCCCGAGTTTATCTTTAACCTTTTCTTTGTGCTTTACACAATTCCCCAAGTCAGGATTGGTTACTTGCATAAAACTCTCTGGTCACTTTGGACTTTGTATTTGTAGTGAATTACTTGGCTTTCTATTTTCCCTGTAGCCTTTTCATGTTTTACTATAGAGCAATGTTCTCTGCTTAAACACAGAAAGACCATTAATGCCATGCTCCTAATATTATGGGTAACTCTGAAATATATCTACTCCTGGGCATCAGTCATGATTATTTGACTCAGACTTTGGTTGCCATAATTCCTAACACCCCAAAGAAAGGGGTGGGGGGGTCCTACAGTGGAACCTGGATGGACCCGGGGTGAGTGACAAAGCTACCCCGGCATCAAAATGGGACAGTTTAGAAAGCATAAAAGCACAGTCTTGGGGCCGGAGCGATAGCACAGCAGGTAGGGCGTTCGCCTTGCATGCGGCCAACCCGGGTTCGATCCCTGGCATCCCATATGGTCCCTCAAGCACTGCCAGGAGTAATTCCTGAGTGCAAAGCCAGGAGTAACCCCTAAGCATCGCTGGGTGTGACCCAAAAAGCAAAAACAAAACAAAACAAAACAAAGCAAAACAAAAAACCCCCACAGTCTTGATGCAAGCCACTGTGACTCTTAAGAGAGGAACCCCATGGGGAAGGAAGAGCTAAACTGGCTTGAGGACTTAGTCTGAGATTTACGGTAGAAGCCCGTTAGCCTTGCTCTCAGAGCAAAGAAATAAGTTTTCAGAGAACCAAGTTTTCTTAATAAGAACTATATATCTCTTACTGTGTTCATTCAAATAACTGCAAGTATTAATAAGAAGTAAACTTAACTGTTTAATATGTACAATTAAAGGGAAAGAGAAAAGCAATATAGATGTCCCTGGGAGACAGAGTGTGTCCTTGAGTTAAACCCTGCCCCATCCATGTCCTTTACCTCTGTACATGATCAATCACACCTATGCACAGTCCTGTACCTTGAACCCCCTCAGAAGTTCTGTATCTAACAGCTCTGCATTAAACGGGCCATCCTGACCACCAGTCTGTGTTCCTATCTCTTTGTCCTCTGCTGGAGAGGCCGGGAAGGCAGTTCTTGGCCACACACGTGTCCAACCCAGGTTGCATCTGCAGCATCCCCATCAGGAGCGATTCCTGAGTGCAGAGCCAGGAGTAACCCCTGAGCATCTCCAGGTGTACCCCCTGCCACACCTCCCCCCCTAAAAACAATTCCTACTTGGGGCTGGCATGATAGCATGGCAGTGAGGGCGCTTGCCTTGCGCACAGCTGACCCAATTTGATCTCCAGCATCCCACAGGGTTACCCTGAGCACAGCCAGGAGTAACCCCTGAGCACCACTGGCTGTGGCCCCCCAAACAAAAACAAGACCCCTGACCCTCCCACCCAAATCTTCAAGCACCTAAAATCACACCCAATTGTGAGCAGACACAGAAGCCCCCAGAGTGCAAGGATGCAACCTGCATTCAGCAGGAAGACCTGGGCTCTCTCTGGGCAGGACGCAGCCTCAGCCCCGAGTGGCTGCCCAGGGGACGGCCAGGGCTGGGACCAAAGGCCGCCCTGCAGCCCACAGAGCCTCCCGCTGTCAACATGTGACTCTGGGGGAGCCCTCCATGACAGCGCGGAACTTCTGGCTGTCCATCGGGGGTCACTGGGGATGAGGGCAGCTGAGGAGGAGGCCCGCCCCCCCCCCCCACAGGTGCCCCACTCACCTGTGGCCTGGCAGAAGAGGTGGAAGGTCCCCAAAGCACGCACGTACTGTGCCTGGTCACTGAGCAAAGGTGGCAGGAAGGCGACCCCCGAGGTGCTGTCAGGCCCTGAGCCTGAGGCGGGCCAGGGGCCTCGGGGAGAGGAAGCAGAGTCGGGGCCCACACAGGACAGAGAGGAGGAGCCCGGAGGAGAGAGGGGCAGAGGAGCAGAGGCTGGAGACAGAGGACAGAGAGAAGGTGCTGAGGAGCAGCGGCCGGGACAGGCGTGGGGAGGAGTGCGGGGACCCCCCCCCCCCCCGCTGCTCCCAGCACGCGGGTCTGCAGCCTAGGCCAATGACACGCGTCCACATCCAGGATATAAGTGTCTAGTTTATTTGATTACTTTGCAAATGTATACAATTCCAGGTAGAAAAATAAAAACAAAGTAAATCTTATAAAACACGAACAAACGTTGACACTAAAACAGTCGCAGGGCACGGAGCTGGGAGAGGCCCCACCCCCACCGCGGGCGCACACAGCAGGGCCGGTCGCTCCTTGCTCAGCCTGGGGGACGCGGCACCCGGTACAGGCACCGGGGGGTACCCCAGGCCTCCGAGCAGGTTCCCAAGGGGACAGCACATGAGAGTGAGCGGGGGACAGTGGGGGTGAGGGAGGAGCAGGTGGCGGCACTGGGATGACCTGACAAGTCCCACTGACCTGGGGCGCAAGGGACACTCTTGTGCCTGAAGCTGGGCTGACCCTAGAGTCCCCCCACCCCCGCCAGCCTTGGCAGAGGCGCCCCCTCCCCAACTCTCCATCTTGGAAAAACCTCAAAGAAGAGAATGACAACAACAACGAAGAGTACGGAAAGGAAATCTCTCTGAAAACCAAATTTCCTTTAAGGAACCAAATCAATGAAAATGTTTTTTTTTTAAAAAAAAAAAAGTTGCCTGTGTTCTCGAGAGATGGGTTTTGTTTGGATTTCTAGAAAAGCAGAAAGAATGCATTTTAGCAAAAATAAGTTTATCCCTGAGAATCTGAAACAACTTAAGCCCTATCTTATCCTGACGGAAGAAAAAAAAATCTCCAGGAGGTCTCTCTTCGGAAGAAGAAAGCGTCTACGCTTCAGCAATTAAAGGAACAAAAACTGAAACGAACAGCAAACAGACCAAGACAAGGAAAGCCTAATCCAAAAAACAAACAAACAAACAAACAAACAAACAAATAAAACAGGGAAGAAAAGGTTCATGCCAATCTGGGCAACAGATAAGTTACCAATCTGATAAACTAAAACGTCACTTCCAATCTGGAATTAAATTATCGTTCAGTGGCTGCCATGGGGGGGGGGGGGGAGCAGGGGCAGACTCGAGGGTGGGGGCCTCCCACGCCCCTGGTGGTCCCACAGTGCCCACCCCGGCGTGAGGACCCCCACCCTGCATCCCCTGCACTCCCCGTGCCCCTGCGGCCGGGCGGGCTCGCCGTCTTCCCAGAGGACAAAGACACCACGTCACACGCTTGACCCAAGAGAAAGAGACACAGAAGATGGAGGTTTGCAGACCCCCGGTGGGCGGGGGGGGGGGGGGGGGGCAGGGGGCGGGGCAGGAAGACAACCGGCCACCAGGGCTGAGCCTCAGTCCCCGTCGGCGTCCGAGTCAGCGAACTTGAGCTCGCATTTGACGTCGAAGGGCCGGTCCCGGATGGGGAGGTCGTCCAGCCTCTGCGAGTCCTCGCGGTCGGTGGGTGCCCGGCTGGCCATGGTGTCCTGCTCCGTCTCGTAGCCCGTGTCCAGGGCTGGCCTCGGCTGCCCGCCGTTGTGCTGCGAGTAGCTGCCTGGCTCCACCAGCGTCTCTTTCACGCTCTGCTCGCAGTCCGAGAAGTCGGGCGCTGGCTGCTTCTTGCCCAGCAGCATGGCCGTGCGGAACTTGAGGCATTGGCTGGGCAGGTAGCCCTTGTAGCAGTTGTAGGAGAAGAGGCCCAGGCAGAGGAGGAAGAAGAAGAGGAAGAGGAACATGAGCAGGTGGTTGTCGCCGGCCTTGAGGTACAGCGTCTTCTCCGAGTGCAGCTGGGGAACTGTGTTGATGACGATCCTGGGCTCGCAGGCGGTGCTGGTGGGCGCGGAGCCGTCCGGCAGGTCGGCGGCACTCGGCGTGGGGGCCCGCGGAGTGGGGGTCTGCAGCAAGGAGCCCTGGGTGGGCCGCTCGGACACCCTGGGGGTGAGCCTCCTGCTTTCTGTGGGGGCGGCCGACGGGTGGGAGGCCGGCGTGGTCGGCAGGGGCACGAGGACCTCCAGGACGTGCCTGGCCACCAGCTGCTCGACCGTCCTGTTGCGGACTTTCTCCTCAGTCAGGCACCGGTATACCCCGCTGTCCCCCTCAGACAGGTTGAAGATGAGCAGATTCTTCCTGCCCAGGAAGCTGTACTTGGGGCTCTCAGCCGCCAGCACCCCGTTCTGGAACTTCCACACCACCCGGGCCAGGTTGGACTTTTGGGAGCATTTGAGTTCGGCCGTGCTGCCGTGCGTGAAAAAATGCTGCCGGAAACTTTCTTTCACTTTATCTGGAACATCAAAATAAACGTGCACACGCGTCAACAACCCCCAGTGGGCAGGTGTCCGAAGCCTTTAAAGCTAGGTCACCGGGCACAGGGAGGGCACCGGGGCTGCCTCCGCCGGAGCAACACAGCATCTTCCAGAACGACCAAGGAGCCGGTGGAGCCTTGGTGAGACGAGGAGCTACGATGACAGAGCCAGCCGGCCCGCCCGCTCGCACGAGCCCCTTGCCCAGGGCGGCCTGTGTGCGGGGTTCGCGCCAGGGGACCCCCGCATGCTAAGCAGAGCAGAAGCAGCTCAAGAGTGGCTGGGAGCCCCAGGGAAGAGACACGTTGCCTATGGCGCCAGGCGGTTCTCTCTGGGGCCGGACCAGAAAGGAAAGCGAGCGCAGTGTGATGCCCGCCCGAGCCTACGCTCTACAGGGCAGGGGACCGGGGAGTCTTACCTGGGCAGCTGGACACGTCCCCGCTCATGTCTTGTATCAGAGACCTGCAAGACAAGGGGCAGTCAAGCAGGTGGTACTTTTCCTGAGCAGGGGCTTGGGGGATGGGGGCATGCACCTGGGGCTGGAAAGCGCTTGTGGGGCAGGGCTAAGTGTGTGCAGGGGGTGTAGCATATGCACCTGGGGTGCGGCGTGGCTGTGCAGGGGGCGGGGCGTATGCTCCTGGGGCGGGGCGGGGCACTGCAGGGGGCGGGGCGTATGCACCTGGGGCGGGGCGCACTCGGGAGTGGGGGGGGGGGGGGAGGGGGGAGGGGGGAGGGGGGGGGCGGTGGTATATATACACAGGTTCTCCTTCCAGGGCGCAGCATGTGTGTCCCTTACCTGTGGGAGCCGTGGGTCTCGTGCAGGGGCACGCAGGCAGCCTCGGCCTGGCTCCAGGCACAGTAGGGGTCCCTGGCCAGCACACAGTCCTGGCAGGAACCGTGCTTCCTACAGAAGGCCACGGGCACCTGCACCACACCTGCATTGGAGCCTGCGTAAACGAACTTCTGGCCCTGTGTGGGAACAGGAGAAGGGGAGAGGGGGGCAGGTGAGCCGCTGCCCACGGCCTCCTCCCTCAGATCCCAGCACCAGTGAAGGGGCACAGGACACAGATCCTGGGGCGTTCCGGGCTGACTTGGGGCACACTGGCCTCTGTCCCCGCTGTCCTGCTTGTCCATGCCCTCAGTTGGCACCAAATCCTCTGGACAAGGGTGGAATCTGCCACCCTGCAGCCTCTGAAGCCCGTCGTGGCCTCCAATGGCTACTGCTGGGGGGGATCTGGCCATGGGGCCAGGACGCCTTAACCAGACCAGATCAGAAGCCAGAGCCACGGGGGGGGGGGGGGGAGGAAGGGGGGGAAAAGGGGTTCACAAGTAAGTGTGCCCGGCTGGAGGGTGCCAGTTCTGCCCTCACAAGACCCTGTGCACCCCACATGGGTACTCAGCAACACCTCTCCCTGCCCTGGGACCCCCTGGCAGCAGAGCTCAGAGCGGCTGCAGGTGGATGGCTGCCTCCCCTGTGCCCCACCTTCCTCTGTCCTTGCCCCAGTGGCTCCAGTGGGGTGGCAGAGGAGAGGACACAGTGTCTCTGAGAGGGCTAACTGCAGCAACCTGGGAGGCAGGTGAGCGCTTAGCAAGGAGGATCGAGGGACCCAGGAGCTTTTGCAGAAAGCTCAAAGGGCCAGCAGGGTCCCCAAGAAATCCTGGCCGGCCCAGAATGAGAGTGCAGGGTCAGAGCACCTGCCCTGCAAACGGCCAGCCCAGTCCCTGGCACCACCATGTTGGGTCTTTTAAGCACTAGGAGTGATCCCTGAGCAGAGCCAGGGCATGAGTCCTGAGAAGCACTGGCGGTGGACCCCAAACCCAAAATGATCAAACACTGGCCACAGGTATGGTCGGAGTGGAACAGGTGCAGCCAGCTACCAGGGCGCCCACGGTATATGCCACCGCAGAGGGGGGATTTAGTGTGTGTGTGGGGGGTGCAGGCAAACACACAAAAATGGGCAGTACCTGGCCTAGTGCATGGGCGGGCAGGAGGGACGTGGGAGATGGTGCAGTCCCCCTGCGTTCCCACAGCTACCAGCCACTGTGGGGCCTGAAGGAAGGTCCAGGGACCCTCTTTCCCCTGCAGGATTTGGGCTCAGCCCGGCCCCAGCAGGGCAGACCCACTGACCACAATTAGAAGAAACTGGGCCGCTCAAAGACGTGCCCTTCATGGTCTGTGGTCACCTCCCCAGGGTCCCGGCCCCGCCCTGAGGAGGCCACGCCCACCCAGCTGACCGCCCACCTCCCCCTCTCCCACCAGGCTCTGAGGTCCCCCGCTGTCCCGTGCTGGTGGCCTCAGGGCGCAGGCTCCAGGGAGGCGTCCGTCCCAGTAGTGGACTGTCTGGGGTCGGAGTTCGGGAGACGGCGGTCCCCTCAGGGCCCTGCTGCAGGACCATCGGAGTGCAGTGCGGGGAAAGTGCACAGCACAGGGTTGGGCGCCACCCTGGGGGAGAAGGGCTGGCCCAGCACCCAGGGGCAGACAGCAGCAGAGGAGATGGGCACCCAGAGAAGACAGCGGACACGGCCCCATGCGCTGGTAGAAGCCTGGAGTCTGCTCAGACAGGCAGCAGGCGGGAAGAGCCTGAGCTGGGGCCCCCGCATGCACGGACACGCACAGACCCACCTGCACACTGCGGGGTTGCAGCCTGAGGGAGGACCCTGCAGGGATGGGTCCCTGCTGTTGCAACCCCCCGCCCTGTCCGTGGGGTCCCAGTGGGGCACACAGACCAGATCAGGAAATGGGAAGCCAGACAGAGCAGGGCAGGGCCCAGCGGGGACCCGTGGTCTCCCGTCCGGCCTCGATGTTCCAACAGCCTGTTTCCGGCAGGACACCAAGGGCCAGCTCGAGGCCAGGCCCACTGCCCCTGAATGTTTCCACAGCCCCACGAGGGCGGGGTTGGTGTTTGTACATACATGGGGGGCCCCAGCAGAGAGTCCTGGACACCCAGCCCAGCGGACACAGTTCCACACTATTGGCCCCGACGTGCCGGCAAGGCTCTGAGCTGCTGAGGACGTCTGTCTGGGTGGCCCAAGGCCAGGTTCCCAGGACAGGGGCCCACACCCGGGTCAGTGGGAGAAAACTCATCCCGGGGCGGCCTCGGGCACTGCAGTCGCCCACAAGAGGGCACTGTGGTACCGGCCCACGGCTGGTCGGCACTGGAGGGGCTGGGGTGGCCGGACAGCACCAAGCGCCACCTTGCATGAGCACCTGAACACGGCAGCAGCCCCCGCTGGCACACAGAGGAGATGCCAGGGGCCTCCTACCTTCCCAGAGGACAGTAGCAGCGTCTGCACGGGTTCCGGGTCCCGGAACAGCTGCGTCTCCTCGATGATGTGGGCCTCCCCATCCAGGCTGACGGCCTTGTGCAGGGCGCCGCGGTCTGCAAGGCCAAAACCACAGTCACATGCCCACCGGGAGGAGGGGGCGGCGCTGGCACCACCAGTCGTGGAGGCCAATGCCACTCTTGGCCCTCAGCTCCTCCCGCGAGGGGACGGTGACTGCCCAGAATCACATCAGACACAGGACAATGAAGACTGGGAATCCACATGGGGTGGTTATTCCAGAAAAGGGCATGCCCACCGGGCTATGCCCGGGTCCCACATCCAGCTCAGGGGGTAGGGGGGGGGGAGTAAGGGGGCTGTACACTCCGTTAGGACTGGAACCGGGGCCAGGGCTGCGGCCACATAGAAAGGCCAGTGCCTTGAGCCTGGGACAATTTCTTCATTCCGGACTTTCTCTCCCTCCCCTATCTCTGGTGTTCAGGGCTTGCCCCTGGTTCTACGCTTAGGCTCACTCCTGGCCCTATACTTAGGATCACTCCCGGCAAGGCTATGTGGTACAGGGATAGAACGCAAGTCCCCTGTTTGCAAATTCAGTGAGTGTGCCCCTGGCTGTACGTTTGCCACAGCCCCAGCATCATCTGTCTGACTGACAGACAAATGAGCATCCCATTTGGTTCCAGCATCCCTCACCCAGGAAGCTGCCCTGCATCAGGCCCGCTCCCCATTCCAGAAACCCAACACACCCGAGGCTGCAGGGAGGCCGCGCCCATCCCTGGCAGGCCAGGACAGGCCCACCCTGGCTGGGCGTGCATGCGGGAACCACCTGGGCTCCCTCGGCACCAGCCCAGATCCACCAGACTTGAACTTCCAGATCCACTGGCCAGGCACGCGGCTTGGAGCCCTGCCCAGGTGGCGTGCGGGTCACAGACCAGGCGTCCCCGGCGTGCTGGTGGCCCCCACGTCCCCCACCAGAACACAGCCCCGGGCCCACCTGTGCCGACAAACAACACGTCGTAGGCCGTCCCGTCCAGGGCGCGGGTCCGGTCCACGGCGATCTGCGTGTAGTTCACGCCACTCTTGATGAGCCGTGGCCTGTTGTCCGCTGGGGTCACGGAGTCATCCATGAGCGGGTGGTCCTTGACGAACTGCAGGGTCTTGTCAGGCAGGCTGAGGGAGTTGGAGAAGTTGGCGGCCCGTGCCGCGTTGTCGATGCACTGCAGGAAGGCGTCTGGGGGTCAGCAGCGTGGACACAGCCCCGCCCTCTGGGAACCCGAGCCACCCACAGGCAGAGCGGGAGACTGAGCAAACCCGGTGAGCTGACCACAGGGACCGAGGGTGCATCCTGGGCCTCTGGAGACGCGGGCCTGTTCTGGAGGGGCGGTGCGGGAATGAACCCTGGTCGCAGGTATGCCAGGGTACCTCGACCTCGAGCCCACCCCCTGCCTGGCACAGGTTGCTTTGATCCAAGGATGAGACTGTGTCCCCCAAAGGCAAGGGGTAGGGGGTTTCCCAGGTCTTCACGGAGCAGATAAAATGGCCAAACTCTCGGAAGTGGAAACTGGACAGAGACCACTCAAGAGCACCCCCGGGGACGGGGCAGGACGGTGCAATGGCCACAGCCTGCAGGGAGGTCTGGAGGCCGGCACAGCGGGAACACAAGGGAGCAGGTTCCCTTAGAAAGGTGAGGGTCGGGCTGGAGCGATAGCACAGCGGTAAGGCGTTCGCCTTACAAGCGGCCAACATGGCCGACCCGAGTTCGATTCCTCTGCCCCTCTCGGAGAGCCCGGCAAGCTACCGAGAGTATCTCGCCCGCACGGCAGAGCCTGGCAAGCTCCCCGTGACGTATTCGATATGCCAGAGACAGTAACAACAAAGTCTCCAATGGAGACATTACTGGGCCCGCTCGAGCAAATCAACGATCAACGGGAGGGCCTTACTTCCGTACGTTTATATGCAAATAAACGATTTAAAAAAAAAAAAAAGAAAGAAAGGTGAGGGTCAGGGAGATAATACAGGGGTAAGGGTGCCCGCCTTGCCTGCCCTGACCAGTCTGATGCCCGGCACCACATACGGTCCCCATCGCGCCGCCAGGAGTGACCCGTGAGTGCGGTCAGGAGTCAGCCCTGAGCGCCGCTGAATGTGGCCCCCAAACCAAAGAGACAAAAGGAATGACGAGTCACTCCACAGGATCTCGGGGTGGGGAGTTTGTTGAGCTGTGGGGGGCAGCCACGTGGCTGGGGACGGTTCTGCCCACAGGCTGGCCACCATGTTCCCCATGGGAGCCCCACCGAGTGGGTGCTGCTAAGTGAGCCTCAGAAGCCGGCAATTCATACATAAAACCCACTGATTTCAGGAGAAAACTGTGACACCCCCCCCCACCCCACACTGATGAGCAAGCAGTTGGAGCTGATCAGAGCACAGGGGCCAAGAAAGCTCGTCTCTCTGCAGAAGCAGACAATGAAGCAGACCTGACGAGATTGTGCAAGGTCGAGTTCACAAACAGCCCATGCCGGCCAGGGCAGTTCCTGGTGGGGGCAGAATGTGGCAACAGCAGTTACGCAACTCAAAAATGAGAAGAACCAGAGGGAGCGCGCGCGTGAGTGTGAGCGTGTCTGTGTCCGTGTGTGAGCACGTGAGTAGAAGAATGCCTGTGTGTGTCTGAATGAACATATGAGTTAGTGTGTGAGTGCATGTGTACGTGTGTATGTGAGAGCCTGAGTATAAGAGTGACTGCCTCTGTGTGTATCTGACTGTGAGTGTGCGCGAGTGCGTGTGAGTCAGTGTGTGTGTATGTGTGCACATGTGTGTGAGTCTGAGCGTGAGTGCCTCTGTGTGTATGACTGTGAGTGTGCGAGTGTGTATCTGGGTGTGTACATGTCTCTGCACATGTGAGCCTTAGTATGAGTGTGTGAGTGCCTGTGTGTGTATGACTGTGAGTGTGCATGAGTGCATAAGTCAGTGTGTGTATGCTTGTGTGTGCACGTGTGTGTGAGCCTGAGTATGAGTGTGTGTCTCTGTGCGTATCTGTGAGTGTGCGGATGTGTGTGGATGTGTGCACATGTGTGTGAGCCTGAGTGTGTGAGCGCCTCTGTGTGTATGACTATGAGTGGGCGAGTGCGTGTCTGAGTGTGTACATGTCTGTGCACATGTGAGCCTTAGTGAGTGCCTCTGTGTGTGTATGACTGTGAGTGTGCATGAGTGCATGAGTCAGTGTGTGTGTGTACATGTATGTGCACGTGTGTATGAGCCTGAGTATCAGTGAGTGCCTCTGTGTGTATCTGACTGTGAGTGTGCGAATGCGTGAGTCAGTGTGTATGTACATGTGTGTGCACGTGTGAGCCTGAGTATGCGTGTGTAAGTGCCTCTGTGTGTGTATCTGAGTGTGCGAGTGCATATGAGTCAGTGTGTGTGTCTGTGTATCTGTGCACTCACAGCCCTTCCCAGTCCAAGTGTGTCTGGGGGTGCATGCGTGTGTGTGTGTGTGTGTATGAAGCATGCATGTGTGTCTGTGTCTGCCCGTGTCCTCTCCCAGCCCCCAGCCGCACTTACCGCCCCGGGCCTTGGCGAGGGCAGGGTGCCGCTGTAGCGCACCCACTTGGTGTGCGACTGCTCCACTGTGGCGCTCTGCATGTACTTCCCCTGCGAGAAGACGGCGTCCACCGTGGACAGGTTGTACGCACACACAGCCGACAATCCCACGTTGTTCCTGGGGAGGAGGGTCAGCGTGAGGGCACGGCGGGACGGGGGCCCACATCCTTCCTGTCCCCTCTGGCGGGGGCACTCACAGCTGCGGCGTGAAAACCCCGTAGAACACGGGCTCCTTCAGGTCGGGGGCCCGGAGCACAAACGCGTCCTGCAGCACGTTGAAGACCAGGCTGCTGTCGGGCCTGGAGCACACCAGCCGCGCCTTGAGGAAGGACGTCCATTTCTTCTGCAGGGTGCGCTGGCCACCCTTGTCCCCCTGGAACCCAAGAGCATGGTGCTCAGTGGAGGGTAGACGCGCCCATGAGGGAGTGATGGGCACGGGGCAGGGGGTGGGAGGGTGGGCGGTGCCCTAGACCCCCATCCCCACAGGCCAGGAGAAGCAAGCAAGCCGGCTGCAGACAGTGAGGTGCTGCCCTGGCTGGCTAGGACCAAGGGCAAGACCCCCAGGGGTCAGGCCCTTGGGGCAAAGTCAGTGACAACAGCACACAGACTCCAGCAGGGGGCGCTGAGGCCCTCACGGCCACCCACACGCGCAGGCCAGACCCTGGTCAGCACGAGGCCTGGGAGCCAGCAAGAGGCCCTGCTGTCCTGAGGCGTCCTCCTGGCCAGGCCGCCATCCTCTCCCCCCACCCGACTGGGGTCTGAGCATCTCTCCACACTCCTGGCGCCTTCGGCGGGACGTGCAAAGGCCCTGGTCTGCAGAATCCCCAACTCTGAGGGGTTTGTTTTGGCGGGGGATGGGGTGCAGGGTTGGGGGGTGAGGAGTGTTGGGCCACACCTGGCGATGCTCAGGGCCTCTCCTGGTGGGGTCAGCTCCAGGCAACGCAAGGGCCTGCTCTGCTACGCTAGCTCTCCACCCCACAGACTCTGAACTCTGGATGCAGAGAAACTGAAGTGCCCAGAATCTCCCGAATACTGAAGCAGATGCACCGTCCTCACCCGCACGGGGAACAGGGACACCCCCGTTTCAACAGAACCTCTTTAATGCAGGAAGCAGAAACCAGCTTCACCGGGTTGCAGGGGGGTGGTGGTGAGGAAGTGGCCTGGAAGGCTGGGGGTGGGGTGGGGGGGAGGGAATAGTGGGAAGGGACTGGCAGACAAAACCCTTTGCGCCTGGGCTTCACCTATGAACAGGCTGGCTAAACCTGTGTTTATACAGACCCTCCAGTTAAGACACAATTTGGTTCTCATTATTTTTAATATTTTTATTATTAAGTCTGTCTGTCCTCCCTTTGTTCATCGATTTGCTCGAGCGGGCCCAGTAACGTCTCCATTGTGAGACTTTGTTGTTACTGTGTTTGGCATATTGAATACGTCACAGGGAGCTTGCCAGGCTCTGCCGTGCGGGCGAGATACTCTCAGTAGCTTGCCGGGCTCTCCGAGAGGGGCGGAGGAATCGAACCCAGCTCGGCCGGACTGGCTGCGTGCAAGGCAAACGCCCTACCGCTGTGCTATCGCTCCCATTATTATTATGGTTGAAGGGAGAAAATAAGATTCTCTGTGAAGCCCTCGACATCGGCCCCTCCTGAGGGTGGGGCCAACATGCAGCAGCTGAGGACAGTGAGGCAGGGTGAGGGGGTTGCCTGGAGACAGGCTGCAGATCTGGTGGGGGGGGTCGCATGGCTCACCTTGCACACCCTCGCGACACGGGGGATCAGGAGCTTGACAACGAACTCGTACTCCACAGACACCTCAGTGAAGAAGAAGTACACGCGGTCGTCCCCGCCTGTGGCGCTGTCGGGGCTCTCCCGCACCACGTCCGAAAACACGAAGCTGGGCTCTGCGGGAGACAGCCCGTCAGGGAGCGCCGGGCACAGCCCAAGACATCCCCCTCCCCAACCCCGCCCCAGGAAGCCCGACTCCGGGGGGCCACCTGCAGGGTGCGAACAGACTGGAGCTCCCCCCAGATCCGAGGCCCTCGGGTGGGTGGCCTGACCACGGGCACTGAGGCAGCATCCCCGTCCACCAGGCAACCCCCCCCCACCAGCCGCCATGGAGGGCTGAGTCCCAAGCACAGCCCCCCTCTGCACCAAGGGTCAGCAGCCCCGAGACCCAAACATGATCATCAGGCTCCCGTGGCCAGGCCGCGGGCACAGAGCACTGGGCAATGGCCTGTGATTCTAAAGCCACAAGGACACGTATGTGCCACCAGCCATGACCCCCACCTACGTACGAGAGCCCTGCGTGCCCACAAAGGGACACAGTGGCCCAAGCGCGCTCCTGCCTGTGGGTCACACCCCGTGGGACACCTCACAGAGCCCAGCGGTGAGGGGACACAGGCTGGGCCAGCAGGAGGCTCCACCGGGTTGGGGACTGCCCTCAGAGGGAAAGACCCCCCCCCCACACACTTTCTCTTGCCATGAGAGGCTGGCCCGAGGCTCACCATTCAGCCACGGAATCGCATATTCGGTCCTCAAGAGGCTGTGCTGCAAAGAATTCCGGGAGATGATGGGTTCACTCCCCAAGAAGTTGTAGGACGTCCCAGAATAAAGGTCTCCATCTGCAGCGGCCCACAAGCACGGAGGGGAACAAAATCAGGGGCAGCAGTGGGCACGGTGCCCAGCACCACCCTGCCCAGGGGCAGAGGCTTGAGTCTACCCACACACGTGCCCAACCTGTGTTCTCTGTGTTACACTAATGTGGACCATTTTAATTCCGTTTTAAACATCACTCTACATTTAAATTTAGGAACTTATCTAAGCATCATGGTTTGCAACACTGAAGGGCGGGATGAACATCATGTTCCAACGCGGACACGGACAGTTGTGTTTTGTGTGGGGGCCATACCTGGTGTGCATAGGGATCTCTCCTGGTGGGGTGCGGGGGACCATTTGGGATGCTGGGGGTCACACCTGGGCCGGCCATTATAAGGCAAGCGCCCTACCCGCTGTGCTACTGCTCTGGCCCCAGACACGGACAATTTTATGCTCCATGCTCAGATGTTTTCTATGAGATTTGGCAATGCTAGTGTAAGCTACTTTAACAGGGGCCTACGCAGGCTCCCAGGTCAACCAGAGGCAGCCTGTCACAACTCTCCGGGATACGGATGCTCCAGCCCACGGGCCAAATGTTCCAGACAACCTGCAGCATGGGGACGCAAAGTCTTTCCCCACCTGCCCAGCTGGTGGACTCAGTGGTGCCCAGAGTGCTCAGACCTCCCACTGGGGGTCTCCGCAGTGCCCCTCCTGCTTCTTGTGAGGATGGCGACTTAGAGCAGGAGGCAGAGGAGGTGACGAAGGAAACAGTGGGGCCCGATACAACCTCTGGGAAGGACCCGACAGCAGTGTCCAGGGGACTCACCGACCATCACGGATGTGTAGCTCTGGGCTGGGTCAAACGGACACCTGCCTTTGCCGTCTTCATTTCTCCCCAGGAACTGGAAAGATGTTAAGTTCTACAAAAGGGAAGAAACAGTGACTCGGGGACAGCACCTGAGCTTCCGTGACAGTCGTGGCTTTGCTGTGCCGTGCGTTCATGCTCACTGTGCCGGGGGTGGCATGTGCCCTCCTGCCAAGAGGGCCTGACACCCAGCGTCCTTACTCAGGCACCCGAGACCCAGGTGTGGCTTAGGGCCTCAGTTTACTCATCAGCACTGCCGATGGCACTCAGGTCACAGGGCAGATGCAGGCTGTGCTTGGGGATCAGCGGCTGAGTGGCTGAGCGTATGAGCAAACCATCAGCAGCCCAGAGCCATGGAAGAGCGTGAGCAGAGGGAGGGCTCTGTGCCTGCCCGCCAGTCGCCCCCAGGCTCAGCAGGCCTGCCCGAGGGCAAGTGGCAATACGGGAGCACCAGGAGGCCGGGATCAGATTCAAGGCTCTTGGCCCTCGGAGACCACAGGACCAGGTGCCTGCAGGCTCCCGACGGGACCCGCCAATCACCTTCCTTGGGTTCTTGTCATGTGTGTGTGCACCCACAGGAGGGCCCTGGCAGGCCCAGCTTAGCCAGCAGACCTGTGCATCCTTGTTCCAGGGCTTCTTTCACAGTGGGAGGGGGCTGCACGTGGAGCTGCACATTAGCCCCTGAGACTCTCTTCCCGATTTTTTTTTGAAGTGTGTTTAGGGGGAGAGGGGAGGTTTGGGACACACCCAGCAATGTTTGAGGTTAGCACAGCAGTAGGGCATTTGCCTTGCACAAGGCCGACATGGCCGACTGGAGTTCGATTCCTCCATCCCTCTCGGAGAGCCCGGCAAGCTACCGAGAGTATCGAGCCTGCATGGTAGAGCCTGGCAAGCTCCCCGTGACGTATTCGATATGCCAAACACAGTAACGACAAGTCTCGCGATGGAGATATTACTAGGCCCTCTCAAGCAAAATCGATGAACAACGGGAGGACAGTGATAGTGACAGTGACTCTTGGCTCTGCACTTAGGAATCACTCCTGCTGGGGCTTGGGGATATGTGGTGGGGGGACCAAACTTCAGCCAGCTGTGTGCAAGACCAGCACCTTTCACGTGCAACTGCCCGCCCCTCTCTTTCCTGTCTTTAATCCACATGCTCTTGGGCTGGAGCAATAGCACAGCGGGTAGGGCGTTTGCCTTGCAAGTGGCCAACATGGGCGACCTGAGTTCGATTCCTCCGCCCCTCTCGGAGAGCCCGGCAAGCTACCGTGAGTAACTCGCCCGCACGGCAAAGCCTGGCAAGCTACCCGTGACGTATTCGATATGCCAAACACAGTAACAATCGTCACAATGGAGACGTCACTGGGTCTGCTCAAGCAAACTAATGAACAACGGGAGGACAGTGACAGTGACACTACAGGCTCTTACGGAAAAGCAAACACCAGAGAGGAAAATTGCAGCCCTGGTCCCATCCCCCCAGGGCGTCAGCAAGAGAACAGCTCTCAGCTCTGAACAAATGGGGGGGGGAGGTGCCGTCCAGGACACAGTGTGGGGAATGGGGGTGGGCAGCTGGGTGCCCTGGTGGTACACAAATCTGGAGAAGGTGAAGGTGAGCAGCCAGACAAGCTGGGCATGTCCCAGGGTGGCTCCGCCCTTGCCGTGGGTGTGTCCCAAGGCCACCCTGCCCCTTGCCATGGGCGTGCCCTAGGACAGCTCTGCTGTTACAGCAAGGGGAGCCTTGCTGGTCCCCTTGCTGTAACCCTGTCTCGGGGCTTCGTGGCCAAGATCCCTGGCTTGGTGCGAGGGTGGCAGGGGGCAGGGAGGGCCAATGGCCTGTCAGCCCTCTGTGGGCAGTGGTGCCGGCTCACCAGGTGGTCACAGGTGGGCTGGAAGGCGTTAGTGCCGCACACGTACAAGGCTCCAGTGCCCAGCGGCTGCAGAACCCGGATGTAGTTGAGACACTCGGTCTGTAGGGAGAGAAAAGTGGCATCAGCAGCCACCCACCACCGGGACACCCTCCCCGCTAAGCCCAGCCCAGACCCTCCTTCACTCCAGGTCCACCCTGGTCCCCCATCTGCTGAGCCCACCACTGGAACCTTGGAACCGCCATCTCACCAGGCCCCCAGAGCCCCCCACTCCCCTGCCCAATGCCCCAGCTCCCCTAGGCTTGCCAGGGCAGCTCCAAGTGTTATCCCCAACTCCCAGCCTGGCTCCCCACAGTTCAACACAGGTTGCTGTCACCTTGGTCCAGCCAAAAGCAAGGACAGCTGACCTTGGATGGCTTGGGGGACCACGCAGAGAAGACCAGGCTGCACCCAAGCCAGGCACCAGCACGGGTCTCCGTCTGCTTCCCTTGGTGCGGGGGACACACACCTCCTCCCCACTGACTGGAAAAGCTATTCTTGGCCAGGTAGTGTCTGGACCCTGACACTGGGCGGGGGGGGGAGGGGGGGGGAAGGTCTGGCTGAGGTCAAGTTGAGCCCACCAGACTGGTCTGGCAGGAAAACAGGTGCCACGTAGGACCCCCTCCTGAGCCAACACAGGTAAATGCCTCGTGGCCTGAGAAGCCCCTGCTCCGGAAGGCGCCGGCTGCTGGCCGCTGGCTGCAGAAAACAGCACTGAAGCCAATGTGGACAAATCCCATGGCACCACTCACTGCCCACACTCCTGGGCCCAGGGGTTTTATTTTAGATCATGTTTTAGAATGTGACTGAAAAACTGAGCAAAAGCTTTGAACTGCTTTCTGCTTGGTTCTAAGGGCCACACCTGAGGGTGAATTCCCTGCTCAGGGTTCTGCGGTCACTCCTGGGGGCACCTTGGAGCGCCAGGGAGGGGTAGGGGGGCATCTGTGTGCCCCCGCCCTGCAGACCGCACTTCTACATGACTCCATGTCAGCCAGCCCTGTGGGAGCCACCACCCTAGCAGACTAGCAAGGAACACCCTCCTTAGAGTTGACTCCACCCAGCACCAGCAGCGGGCCCAGAGTCTGCCGTGGCCACTGTGCTGGACTGTCCAGAGACGCAGCAGAGGGACACTGCTGAGACCCGCCCCCGCGGCCACTGGCACGAGGAACCTGCCCTGGCACAGTGGCACTGGCAAGCAGGCACCAGAAACATCCACCCCGAAGACTCCACGTTAGGCCACTTGAATACACTCCATCAGGCCAAATGTAAACAAGTGCCTTTCACATGCATCTCGTGCTGGGCACTGAGGAAGAGATCCTGCAACCACAGTCAGTCGGGGGTGCTGGCCAGGGGGTGGCCAGTGGGCAAGGTCCCTGTGGACAGGAAAAGCCCATGTGCGGGGCAGGACTGGGGGAGGGGGAGAAGTTACCTGCTTGGATTTCCCCTTCTCTGCGCATTTTGCTTTCTTATCTTCTGAGACCTTCCAATAAGCCTGTGTGGAGGGAGGGGGGGGGGGGTTAGCCTCAGGACATGCCCCTCACCCCGGAAAGGAGCCGCAGAGATGGTTCTGGAGCACGCTGGTTCAGGGCCATGTCCACACAGGCCACACGTGCCAGGGCTCGCTCGGCGCAGGACCGTGTGGGCTCTGGAGAGGTCCCTGAGGTGGGTGGGTTAAGGGAGGACAGTGGTCCCAGGGACAGTGCACGCTGGCGGAAGCTGGGGGCTGCTTGGGGGACTGTCACAGAGACAGGGCCGGGGGCCAGCCTGGTCCAGGCCGCCAGGCCGTGGCCTACCTCGTGCAGCTTCTGGGAGACGTCCAGGGCGCTGAGGGCGAACACGGCTTCCCGGGCCCCCACGTACAAGGTGTCCTCGGCCTCATTCAGGAGCAGGACGGAGTAGTTGAAGATGCCAGGCTCCCGGAAGTGCAGCAGCTTCACCTCTGCATGGGGACACGGACGGGGAGGTGGGCGGGGGGGTGGGGGGACACATCAGGCAGCTCCCAGCCCTGTGCAGATCGGGGGCTGCGGGCGGGGAGCCCCACAGTGGGCCTCGCCCCTCAGGAAAGCCTGTGGCTCCTCAGGGGCTGCCCGCACCCACCCATCTGCAGCCACACGGCCACTCTGTGCCCCGCAGTCACAGCAGGCGGCCCCCAGGGCCTTCAGCCACAGAAATGTCACCCATTGTGGTCACCTCCCAGCTCCCACAGTGGCCCCGGGAGCATGACTCTGGCATGACCTCTGGGAGGCTACAGGTGATGCTGTGACTGCCTCTGACCCCGAGGGGCCCATCTGTGGGTCTACGCATGTGCCTGGAGGTGAGAAGGTGCCTGACTAGGCTGGATTGGTTGGGGGGGGGGGGAATTTTTTTTCTAAGAGAAAATCTCTTTAAGAAATATTTTCAAGCCATGGAGGCAGCAGCACATACTAGGGGAAAAGGCAGCTCAGATAGAGAAGGGAGCACCAAGTAAAGGGTGTTGGGAGGATCCTCCCAGGATGGGAGATGCATGCTCAAAGTAGACTATAGACTGAACATGATCGCCACTCAATGCCTCTTTTGCAAACCACAGCACTCAAAAGGAAAGAGAGAACAAAAGGGAATGGCCCTGCCATAGAGGCGGGGTGGGATGGGTGGGATGGGGGGGGGGGCGGGTAGGAGAGATACTGGGATCAGTGGTGGTGGAGAATGGGCACTGGTGGAGGGATGGATCATTGTATAACTGAAACCCAAGCACAAAAACTTGTAAGTCTACAACTGTACCTCATGATGTTTCACTAATAAAAATTTTTAAAAATAAAGTGAACAATTAGAAAAAAAAGAAATATTTTCACTGATGAGGCTGGAGAGAGTACAAGGCGTGCAAGGGCCTCCCTACATGCGGCCCACGGGTGGGGGGGGGGGGGGTGGTGGTGTGTGTGGAAGAGCTACACTGCTGTGACCCAAGCCCCACCAGAACTGAGCCCTGAGCACCACTGGGTGTGACTTCAAAACAAACAAACAAGCAGCTACTACCACGAAGTAAAAACAGCCCCTCCCAGTGAGCCCCCGTGCTGGGCCTGGCTCCTGACACACAAAACAGAAACAGGGACAGTGCGCAGCCCTGCCCGCCCCTGGGGACATGTGCTCAGGAATGAGGATGGCTGGGCCGGCTGCTCTGCCTTCAAAGTGTGGATGCTGTGGGCCTGGTGTCTGCGGGTCACTTCCTGTGGGCTTTTGGGATTTCATGCTTTTGGGGTCTGGCGTGAATGCCCCACTCTGCTCCTGCAGAGAGAACCAGCCCCCACCCCGGCTCTACTCCAGGGCCCCATGTCCTCCAGGGGACAGCCTCACTGCAGGGACGCCCCTCCCTCACCCCGCCCCCTGCCTGAGCAGGGTGCTTAGACCAGCTCCCCAGAGAGGAAGCGGATCACCTGGGAAGCTGCTTCAGCCCACGCCCTGTCCTCAGGGCAGGGAGCCCCCAGGGGTCTGTGCTGGGGGCGGGGCCATGGCACCAATGCCATCACACCAGGAGACCAGCCTCTTCCCTGGGTACGTCCCTGCCACTCAACCAGACAAACACGGGCCAGGACTCCAGGAGGCCCTAGAGCAGGACCTGCCAGGTGGAAATTCCCAGAACCCAGATGCGCAGCCACGGGACTCACCTCTGTGCTCCCAGGTGATCCTCGGTCCGGGTGCGAAGGCCAGGGCTGTGCCCAGCAGCAGGGCAAGTGTGGGCAGCAGCATCCTCACGAGCAGGAGTGTCACTGGCGAGCGCCGTGGGCAGGGGTGAGGGGCAGGCGACTCACAGCCCACGGGCGGGGCCCTGCGGCATGGCCTGATGTTGCGGGCTGACCAGCTCCCTGCGCGCCCACATCTCCCGGCGCACAGCTCAGGTCCCCTCCACGGGGTCACAGGCCTCCCGGGGGCTTCTCAAACGGCGGCTGCAGACAAGACGCTGAGGAGAGAGCAAAGGGGTGACGACTTCTGTGACCCGAGTCTGATGTGCAACCGGGACCCCGAAGTCTGCTGCACCAGAGCCCCCCAGAGGCTGGCCCCACAGCCTCAGTCACGGGGCTGGCAGGGGAAAGGCCCCACAACACAAGACGGGAGTCTGCCCTGGGGGCCGCTCCCCCACCCTTGTTCCTGGCCCTCCAGGACACGAGACGGGCAGGGGCGGGGCTGGTCCCCTCCCGTCAGAGTGCAGCCACGGCCCCATCGACAAGCTTTGGGACAGCACCATGTGTCCACGCACATTGGTGCTCTCAGCAGTGGTCCCCGAAGACCCTCACTCGGAAGGACGGGCAGGAAGTGGCAGCAGCCCCGACCTCAGCTCTGTGGTCTCAGCAGGAAAGGGCTGGAGGGAAGGGCGCACGGGGCGCACAGGCAAGGCACAGGGACACAGACGGGCCTCTGGGGGCCCGGGGCGGGTGTGCCATACACGGGAACTTTCAGCTCACGTCTGCTCCGAATCTAACACAGTTTTAGAAGGACAAAGTACAGTGGGGAGGTGCTAGCCTTGCTCGCGGCTGGCCCAGGCTCAATCCCCAGCACCCATATGGTTTTGGGGGCCCCACCAGAGTGATCCCTGAATGCTAAGCCAGGAGGAGCCCTGAGCACTGCCCGGGTGTGGCTCAAAGTGCCCCCTGCCCGCCAAAAAAATGAATGGGTGCTTTGGCAGTCCCTACTAAGGCTGGAAAGACCAAGCCTGTCACTGCAGGCTAGTATGGGCGCCCACACTTGGGCAGAGACACAGACACACACGTGATAGACGCACTGGCTACATCACTAACTATGTCACTACGTGGCAGGTGCACTCACTACAGTCACGACGTGGCAGACACATTATGCAACTATGCTATTCTCCACATGGCAGATGCACTCACTGCATCCATGCCTGGTGTGGTAGATGCACTCACTGCATCACTCATGACGTGGCAGAAACACACCACTCACTATGTGGCAGACTCACTCACTACATCACTCAAGACGTAGTGAGTGAGTCTGCCACATGCCCTAACGGGACCAGAAAGGGCAGGGACCCAGGCTCTCCTGGCTGGACGCTGTCCCCTCCCAGCAGCTCCCGGTGGCTGTCTCCTGCTCCAGGACCCTGGGCACCAAGTCCCCCCCCAGGCGGCCTGTCTACTTCCATGCCTTCCCCTCAGACACCCCCCTCCCCTGCCCTATAACATGACATTGGAGGTGACACCAAAGGTGACATGAGGTAGCGGAAAGGCAAAGGCCCCGGCTAGAGGCCAGGGGCCAGGGCCGGGGAGACGCAGGAAGGCCCAGCAGATTCACACCACAAGCCAGCGGCCCCGAGGGAAACAGTCAGACTGGCCAGTATGTCCAGGACAGGCTCGGAAGGGGCAGGGCAACCCGGGGGCAGAGGTGTCCTGAATGCAGGCAAACGCTGGCGGAAACCCAGCTCCATCCGGACAGAGAAGAGCTTGTGGGCTCGGCTGGTCTCGGGGAGAAGAGGAAGCACCGACTGGCCGACAGCCGGCTCCTGCCACCACGCCCAGCCGCCCTGCCAGTGACTGGCGCGTGGCCAGCTCCTGCAGGGGTTGCACTCTCTCTGCCATGTCACCACCACTCTGTGATGCCAACAACGGCCTCCACAGCATCTCCCAGGAGCTTGGGTAGAGGATCTACACCGTCCACGAGGGCAGGTGGGCGCACCCGTCACCGCCTCCTGTTCCCGGGGGCTTCACCACCGGGAGGTGGGCGCTGCTCTCTGCTGGTAGGAACAGGCTGCCCAGCAGAGCCCGGGCACACTGCCCTCCCACCCCTGCGGCCCTGGGCTCCAGGGGACACAGGGCACTGCACTGAGGTCTCAGACCCCGGAGCTGAGGGTCATCCTGCACTGCTGAGAGCAAAGGGGTCTTGTTGGGGTCCAGAGTCAGCAGTGCAGGAAAGGAGGGGTTCCCCACGCCACTGCATGGCCCACGCGGACCTGCGTCTGTTGTTCAGACGAACAGGCTACCTGCACTGTCCAGGCCTGGAGGACGGGTCTCAGGGTGTCTGAGCCCGTGGACCTCAGGGCCTGTCCCACAGCCAGGCCACCTCTATGTGACCTTGAGTCAAGACAAGAGCCTTGTGGAGGGCGCATGCCTACCCGCACCCCGCTAGGGACAGGGTCCCGGGACCCCCGCATGCTGCTGTGTGTGTCCCTGTGTGGGGCCCCGAGGTGCGGGTCTGCCTTCAGATGCTCCAGGGCGTGCCTGCGTGTGTATGCTCCCGAGAACATACAGCCATAGGGGCCGGGCACCCGTGTGCCAGGCACACACCCTCCAGGTTTAGACTAATGGCAGAGTCACGTGTGTGCCAGTCACACATGCCTGTCACAGCGGAGGTGTCCCTCCATGCTGGAGATATCTGTGCTGTTAGCAGGCCACTGACGTGAGAGGTGTCCCCACCAGAAGCTCAGGGGGAGGCTGAGGTCACAGGTGGCCTGCCCTGCCGTCCTGCACTCTGGCTGGCCTCAAGGGAGGATGCCTGGAGTCTTTGCCCGCTGCCAGGGTGGCTCCAGACCAGGCCTCGGCACTGACCCCCCCCAACCCCCAACCCCTCCCTCCCCGCTTGATAGAAACAGCCCAGCCCGCAGGGTCAGTTTCCGGAGCTCCGTGCCAGCCACGGAAGCAGCTTTGAGGCCCAGTTTAGCCCTCAGGAGCCCCATGACCAGGATCACCACCCAGTGCACCCCACGGACAAGGGTAAGCCCCCCACCCAGCTGCCCCCCAGGGCAAACGGCTTGGCACGCTCTGCCCCGGCCCAGGGGTGCACCAGGAAGGAGACAGGGTTTTTTAGGGGCCAGCAGCAGGAGTGTGAGACCCCAGGAGAGTGGGGTCACCCCCAGGCCCTGCAGCCCGATACGGCGTCACTCGTGTCTCAGCTACACAGGACAGCGCTCTGTGTTCTGGGAGGGGACGGTCACTCCCTCAGGTACCGTCCGGTGAGGGAGGGCTATGCCAGTGACCCTCCTGCCCAGGAACGGCTGGTGCCCGCAGGCTCTGCCCAGAGATGCCCCCAGAATCACATCCACGGCAGGCGATCCCAGTAACACATCCAAGTGGTGGCGGTGCCCTAGTTCACCCAAGAGACACCAACAACTGCGAGTCCCGAGGACCCCGGGGAAAGCAGCAAGACGCACCACACCGTCGTTTTCCAACAAACGAGCCAAGACAACACAGCCGGGAGGGCACTTCCTCGCGTGCAGCTGACTCAGGTTCGACCCCAGCACCCCACAGAGTTCCCCGAGCCCCACAGGAGTGATCCCTGAGCAGGGCCAGGTGTGGCCCCAAAACCAAAACAACAGATAAAATAATAAACAGAGACTGAATTACAAGTGACATGGCTCTGTGGAGGAAATTAACACACGCCCCACTGTGCTTGCTCAGCAAACGGTGGGTGCCACACGAGAGCAACCAGGACGCGGGCGGGGCCGGCTGGCTGCCAGTACCTTGCTGTTTTTGTTTTGTTTTCTTCTGAGCCACACCCGGCTGTGCTCAGGCTTACTCTTGGCTCTATGCTCGGGATCACCTCTGAAAGAGCTCAGGGGAAGCTACGGGGCCTGAGATAGAACCCAGGTTGGCTCCATACAAGGCAAGGACCTGCCCTTCACTATACTGTCTCTTTGGCCCCTCGATCTTTTCTTTTTCTGCATTAAACACAGAAGGAAGGAAGGAAGGAAGGAAGGGAGGGAGGGAGGGAGGGAGGGAGGAAAGGGGAGGGGAGGGGAAGGGAAGGGAAGGGAAGGGAAGGGAAGGGAAGGGAAGGGAAGGGAAGGGAAGGGAAGGGAAGAAGGCAGGCAGGAAAGGGGAAGGAGGGAGAGAGGGAGGGAGGGAGGGAGAGAAAGAGAAAGAAAGAGAGGGAGGGAAGATGAAGGAAGGAAGGAAGGAAGGAAGGAAGGAAGGAAGGAAGGAAGGAAGGAAGGAAGAGGGAGGGAGGGAGAAAAAGTAGCTCCTTTTCTGTCCTTCTTAGTGCTTTTTATCATAAGCGGGGGAAATATTAGAACACCCATCTGTGTACTTCTCTAAGTACTAGCAGAAGAAATTGTCCTTAAGTTACAATTGACAATTATTGGAACGACTTTATGGCCCCAAATTCCAAAATGTTTCCTTAAATGATAGGTAAAGGTAAAGGTAAAGGCCCTCCCGTTGATCATCGATTTGCTCGAGCGGGCCCAGTAACGTCTCCATTGGAGACTTTGTTGTTACTGTGTCTGGCATATCGAATACTCTCGGTAGCTTGCCGGGCTCTCCGAGAGGGGCGGAGGAATCGAACTCGGGTCGGCCATGTTGGCCGCTTGTAAGGCTAACGCCCTTAAATGATAGAACTCAACAAAATCTGGAGACAAAAGACCGGGACTTGGGAAAAAAGAAATAACTGTATCTGAGACGCCACGTTGTGCAGCTCTAATAAATAAATAATAAACTGACCCAACCCACCGGCGGGACGCGTGCACCCAGGTGTGTCCAACGCAGAGAACGGCCACTCCATGCTCCACACTCCACTTTCCATGTGGAAGGCCCTGATGCCTGGAAGCCAAACGCTGCAGGAAATGCCCCTGAGTTGGCAAAACTGGTCTGGGAGGTGCCATGTCCAGCAGCGGAAGGAGAGGAGGCTCCGCTGTCCTGTAGCCCCATGTCCTCCGGCACTGGACACCCAGGCTGAGCAAGCCACCTCAGAACCATCCAGAGACAGGACAGGCTCCCTCCAGCCCTCTGCTCGCCCAGCTCCCAACTCCCGAGGCCCCACCCCCAGC